GTGTGTGTGTGTGTGTATCAAATCTAATTGTAGACAGTTTTATGAGTACAATAGTCCTCCCTTATCCGCAGGGATCCATTCCAAGACATCCAGTGGATGCCTGAACCTGCAAATAGTACAGAACATTATATATGCTGTTTTTTCCTATACATATGCATCTATGATAGTGTTTAATTTACAAATTGGGTACGGGAAGAGATTACCAACAATAACTAGTAATAAAATAGAACGATTATAACAATATACTGTAATAAAAGTTATGTGAATGGCTTTGGGACAATTATTAAGTAAAATAAGTGTTACTTAAACACAAGCGCTGTGATACTGCACCAGTTGATCTGATAACCAAGATGGCTACTAAGTGATTAATGGATAGGTAGCACTTACAGGATGGAAACACTGGACAGAGGGATGATTCACGGCCTAGGCAGGATGGAGTAGGATGGTGCGAGATTTCTTCATGCTCCTCAGAATGACATGTAATTTAAAACTTATGAATTATTTCTGGAATTATCCATGTAATATTTTTGGACTATGTTGACCATGGAAAGCAAAACCATGGATAAGGGTGGACTACTATATGCATTATTGAGTATAAACCGGGGGTGCCAAAAAAATGTATATGAGTGGACACCTTGGTCAACGTTGCTCAAGCAGTAGTTTGCCGTAATCAGAAGTGCCTGGACGCTGATGGGAACCACTTTGAGCACCTCTTGTAATTGCAGAAGTCAGATGTGACTTGTATTCATCTTTTGTTATCGGTGTATATTGAGTATTAACAATTTTAATAGTTTTTCCTCTTCTTAAAATGTGTATACATTTTTTTGGCACTCTCTATATGCAGTAGTCATTTTGCTCTCAATATTTTTTCTCTTGTGATATGTACATATATATACACACAGACATTTGTATGTAATTCTATAAGTGGGATTATACTCTACATGTTATTCCATGGTCTTTTCACTCAACAATGGGTCATTAAGATATTTTCATGCCATTTAATACAGGTATTCATCATTATTTTAATGTCTGTATACTGTAGTTATACTTGATTGATTCTGATTAATCAGATGGCATAGTGGCTCTCAAATGGGCTTTGGCTTTAGGGAGTACTCTGGGCCAGAGACCCTGTGTAACCTCCTTTTGGGAGCACCAAGAGATGGTTGAGAGTAAAGTGGTTTTTCTTGGCCGACTTGGTTTTCTCTGATGACTTTTGGAATTAGTGCCAGGGGGGAGACAGCTTCTATTATAGTAATAGGGCTCAAGGAGTAAATTTCTTTATGAAGTGTGGGGCTTGAGGTATGAGGTGCCAGTATTGGCCAAGGCTTTAAAGTGAAAGAGAATTAGGAGAGTTGGGATGGAATTGACAGAGAAAATAATGGAAACAGTTAAGCGCATCTGGTTCAGGTCAGCAGAGCAAAGCAGAAAATAGAGGCGAGCCTGATCAGTAGTGGAAAGGAGAGGAAGTTGTTTTTTAGTCAGGCCGGCTGTGGAGATGGGCTTCTTGCAGAAGTAGTTACTGAATCACTTGTTCTCATGGGTTGGGCATTCACTAGTAGACACTGCCTGAAATGTCACTTGGCTATATTATGGAACTTAAAAATAAACATGATATTTGTTCTTTGATCTCACAACTTAGGCAAAGTAGGATGCAGGTGGTTAGGAAGTTTTCTTCCTTTTTTTCTTTTTTAAGAAAAAGAAAAGCATTCTGTTTGTACTTTGTGTTCTACTTCCTTAAATAGTACTTTCAAGCATTTTGGCTATCAGCCAATCATTTTTTAAAACAGACTTTTATTATGTTTTTGTTTAAAGCGCGTGTGGTCTATCCTTACTAGTCAGTCAGTCTCTCTCTCCCTTTCTCTTCTTTCCTCCTTTCTTCCTTCCCCACCTCTTTCATCACTGACTGAAAAAAAAGTGCCAAGCCATTATTACTGCAGAGTGACCCAAATTAGCAAGCTTTCAGGATATAGGAAAGCCCTGAATGCCAAAATACATGAGTTGGAAAACCTGGGTCCAACTTTATACTGCTAAGTGATTTAATCTTTGAAGCAAGGCTTTATCCAAAACGTCTGTTTGTAGAGGGGTATAGGAAAAGAATAAGTTTTGGGGGGGCTTCTTAATAATTTATATAGCACATCAAAAATGCAGTTGTACTGATATCACACTATCTGCATTTTTACTCTGCTTTGTTATGGGCTATATCATAAAAAATTTTTTCTCATACACTCACACTCTTTGTGATAGGCTTACATATTACATTAAAACTATGAAGTATGCCTTAAAATAACCTGGCATTCATTAACTTAATAAATTTACTGAATGAAGGAACTTTTATAGCTATTGGATATATAAAGATGAATAACACATGGTCCTCACTCTTAAAGAAATTGTTATTTAGAAGGGTAGGATAGAAGTATATGCTAGAAGTTCATGGATGTTAACAGTTAGGCAAAAAAGAGGGGAAATAGTTCTGCTGTGGGTTGTAGGGATGCCTGAAAAGCTTACTAGAGCAGAAGATTTTGCCCCACTGCATAGGTGGGATGGGGTGGGCCTTGGCAGTAAGGGGATGATCAATCCAGTCCAGAGCATTGTTACCAGGCCTGAGACATCATGACATTGCAGATAGCTTCATATGGCTAATTGTGAAGGGCATGTATGGAGGAGTGGGAGGAGAGGATACTAGAGAGTCAGGGAGGCTGAACATTATCCAGAAGGTCTTTAAATGATTAATTAATATTAATAAAATCAGTCAAAGATTATCTGGCAAATAGGAGGAGGCAAGATTCCAAGTAGGGAGGAGATCAGTTTGTGTTTGTTAAAGTAACCCAGATGGAAACGCCATAGGCCCAGACTCTCAAACTCAGTGATTACAAATCAAAATGAAAATGAGAAGAATAAAGGTGTAGAAACAATAAGACGTGTGTGGTAAAGGAGAGGGAAGCATCAGGATGACTCCCAGATAGTCTGTTTTGGGGGATTTTAGAAATGCCAGAGGAGAAGCTGGTTTAAGAAGGAATAATAATGATTTTGGTGTTTGAACATGTTGAGTTTCAGTTGGTAAGAGACCCCAGAAAGATGTGTTCTGTGGGTATTTGGATCTGGAGCTCAGAATAAGAGTGTCATCAAGGATTGAGAGTCATCATGATTGAATTCTTTGAAACTATGGGAGTAGATGTGATAATCTAGGAATTCAAGAAGAGAATTGTTGAGGACAAAGTATGAACATTTTGGGGGTGGGCCAGAAAGAAGAGCTGGTCAAGAATGTTGAAAGGAAATAGTCTGAAAAGTATCCGCCGTATTTGTCAGATAGAGGGCATTGGTGGTTATTGCTGATGGGGTTTTAATGGTATGTTAGAAGTAAAAAACAGATTCTGTATATTATATTGTATTTATGTACTGAATTACAGGTTTACGTATTAAAATGAAATTCTTAAAAGATACAGCTAAATTTAGGGAATTAATTAACCAACTCTTGTATACCCTTTGTACCATTTTTAAAAAACTTTTTATTTTAAATAATTATAGACTCATAGGAAGTTACAAAAATAGTACAGAGAGGTCCTGCTGTATAGCCCTCACTCAGCTTCCGCTAGTCATTGCATTTTAACAAATGTCCTAGACTAGTGCAAATGCTCATGTTTGGGATGGGTTATGGAACTGCACACGTAGTGTAAATTTGGATTCTGTATCCCCGCATGGCACAAGCCTGGAACTTTAATTCTCATGGGAGCCTCTCTCCCTCCACTGGGAGCAGGGCAGATGAGATGCTTCCTCACTGTTTCTCAGGGTATAGGTGGAGCTTTTCCAGCTCTCTTTTCATATATTGAGCAGCTCTTTTGAGGATCTTGGCTCAAAATAGGGGATTTACTTCCAGCTCTTCCTGGAAATGGGCTCAAAATCAGGCCTTCTATATCTGTAAGTCAGTATCTCGCCAGTCTGCCTTCAAGTCAGCTGGAGTTTTACATTTTTGAGTTTCTTCCTTTCTGACACCTAGAAATTTCCTTTTCCCCTCTTCTTTTTTGAATTCAGCTATAGGTTCTTATTTTTCATGCTGCTCTATCTTTGCGGTTAGTGTATTTGGCACAGGATGTATTAGTTCAGTCTGCCTTGTTGATTGAATCAAGTCTAACAAACAGTTTCTTAATTTCTTATGTCTTAATTTTATTCTCTGCTTTGTCCACAAAAAGGATTTGAGGTCAGATTATATTACTCTCATTAAAAATATTATTTACTTTTAAAATGGTTATTACACGCATGTGGTATGACATTGGAAAGATAAAAAGGGTACAGACATGTTTCCCTTTGCCCCGTTCCTTACCTACCCCACCCAGTTTACCTTCACAGATACAATCATTACTAATCGCTTATGTATCCTAGAAATAGACTATGCACTAGTTTATTCTTTAACAGTAGTTTTAAACTTTAAATAGTGTTTATAATTTAATTTTGTAAGAAAACTCAGGATTTTCCATCTGTTTGACAAGTAGCAATTGTAGTTTCTTCTTCTCAGAGAGCTTTTGGGAGAGAATGTTGTACTAATTATATGTTACATTATGTTTTTATATATATGAATGGATTATCTGTGTTTTAATTTTTGTTCACTTCAAAAACCCCTCAGAATGTGACAGAAACTGACAAAACAGTGTAAACTGTTGATTTGAATGTTTTAAGTTATTATGTGGAATATTAAAATAATGGAACCATTAGTCCTAACATTTGGGAGGTAGTGGAAATGATATTTTAAGATACTGGAATCTTATTGAAACATATTGAGGATATCCTTCAAAATTGTTCTAATTACTAACCAGTAAATGCTGTCATTTGCATATGTGCAAATAATTGCCCAAAGAAATGAGGAGCATCTGTTCAAGATGAAGCCCTCTCTTTCAAGTTCCTTAGCCACTATATATACCATTGATTGCCTGAGTGCAGCTTGGTGAAATTCAGTGACATGGAAGCAAGAAATGGAAGCCTATGACCTAATATGTTTTCTTCCTTAGATCAACCTCTCCACTTCTCCTACACCTGCACAGTTAATAAGCCGTTCCCAGGCTTCCAGTTCTACCAGCGGCAGTATTACCCAACAGACTATGTTACTAGGGAGTACCTCCCCTACCCTAACGGCAAGCCAAGCTCAAATGTATCTCCGAGCTCAAATGGTAAGATGTGAGCTACCAAATTTTTTCAGTGTTTAAGGACTTGAGATAGATTAAACTATTTCTTGATTTGATGCAATAAGAGGCATTTTTAATATTAAAGAAATGTTTTTAAAAAATTTTGTGTGCATGTGCTTAGCTCTTGTACATTTATGTCATGAAAAATTCTACTTTTAATTGGTAGGCCTTCTTGGTGTATCAAACAGTAATTAGCATAGGCCTTCTTGGTGTATCAAACAGTAATTAGCAACATTTGGGAAGCTAACAGATTCTGTAACATAGTAGTCATTATTTTTTCGTATCAAATTTCACTGATTTCAAACCTTTTTTCACATTTTAACATCTCTGAAACAGATGCATTTTATAATTGGTGCCATTTTACAGTTATAATTGGTCCTTATAGTGATACATAAAATTATTGTATATCTTTGACATCTTAGATTTGATGAAATAGTTAGAAATGTTAAAAACTTGGTTGTTAACAATAAGTTAGAATTTATATTGTGGAATCTTCTGAAATCTGGATTGGAGTTCCTGGTAATTTACCAGATGATTCTTAGCTTTGGTTATTCCCATCTCAAATTCTGCAAGGTAATTTGTGTTCTTGTGCTCACTTTGATCTTCTATTAATATAGGAATGTTAATTTGGCTATTCTGTATTTTAGTACCTACTGATTTTCTAATTTAACTGTTGAGCTTCTTTAAGGCATGTACAAATTGGTTGACATTTACTTTACTTGATGTCTTTAACCAGGTAGCTAGACAAAAGTTTTGGCCTAATATATATTTATTTCTATTCTTTTTTTTTGTCCAATGTACTGAATATATATATATATGTCTGGATGCCCAGATCACTATTGAAATTGCAAAGCAAGTTTCCCATCATATTTCTTACAGAAAGCAATGACATGACCCACCTTTTATTTACAGATTATTCAGTAGACATTACCATACTTCTGTTTTTTCCCTCCCCGTGAGATCTATTTAATTTATAATATACTTCAAAATTAGCCTGAAACATTTGAAATGGTTGTAATTTGACCATTTTTGACAGTTTCATATGGTTCAAGCTAAATAGAACATCTTCTCTTTAGGGTTAGTGCTTTCAGATGTTTGTATTGGAAATTACACTTTGTTGTTTAATTCACTTAAATTTAGTACATAAAAAACTGAAGTTTAAAAGATCCCGTAATTGGTAATTTTAGTTTAAACAGGAATGGTTTTCGAGGAACTGATTAACTCTAGGTAATTTTGAAATAGAATATACACATTCTTTGAAATAACTAATAGTTTACTAAGTTGGGTTGGATAATCTTTGAGTGGATTGTGTTGCCTTTTTAAATTAATGCCATTCTATTTCAATACGGAAAAAAGCAGTTGAATTGAGGTGGTGATTAGAAGTTAATGAACCAAGTATATCTTTCTTTCCTTTATTATTTTTTTTTATGTGAAGCTTTTTTACAGGCTGTTTTGTTGTTGAATTTTGACATGTGGCATTTACATTTAGAATGAATTTTTCTTTACAGATAGTTTTAAAATCAAGAGAGAACCTAAGTGTGTACTATAGGTGCTATATAGTTGAATGAAATAGTATAGTATGTGGCATAGCTATCCTTTGTGGTAAAGAGGACTGAAAAGACTTTTTGGGTTTCTTTTCATGTTTCTCACTGAAATTTAATTTGTATTCAAGTGACTATGGTTGCTTATAATAACTTCTGTTTTAGGAATCCTACCATGGTGTTTTGATTTGGTAGAAGTTTAAGTATAATAGTTTATTTGGGCAAAATTTGGTATGAGGATGTCATATTACCAAAATACATATTCTTTTATGAGCACTGATTTATTTTTCTACTCATTAGAATCCTGAGCTGTTTCAAAAATGTTTATGATTTTTTTTTTGAGTTCTCTATTATCAGAAACTTCTCTTTGTCATGTAAGCCCTTTTGCTTAGTAGGAAGTGCTAAACTGCATTGTCTTTCGTCACAAATTTCAGTCTCTCTTGCCTGCTATACATTGTCTGTGAGACATGTTCTTTTGTCTTAGGGTATTTTTTTGGTTTTTCTGTCTGTACAGCTGATTTTCACACCCGCTACCACTGTGGCTGCTGTACAGTCTGACATTCCTGTTGTCTCGTCGTCATCGTCATCTTCCTGTCAGTCTGCAGCTACTCAGGTGAGCTTGTCTAGCTTCATAATGTGGTACTTGAGGTCTGGATCTTCAGGGTAAAGATAAACATACATGTTTGTTTAAGTTACTGATGGTTTCAGTGCTCTTTGTCATACATTTCAGGTTGAGATTAATAAAATACAATAAGAACTTCAAGAAAGTTATTTTTTGTTCTATAGGAATTATAATACCATTAAACACAGATATTTAGGTTATTTGAAATTAGTGAAAATGAGTTTTTGCTATGACATGTTTAGTTTTATTGTAAAGCAGATTTATTTCTCTTATGTGAGATGATTTCTTTTGTGTATTTGCATGCAGTTACGTAATAACTAAGTCAAGATGGATTTTAAGATTAAAAATTAATTAAATTGAGTAAATTTTAAATTAAAAATTTGTATAGAATATTACTTTGTTTAGTACTATGGAAAAAATGAACCTTAACTTTTTCCTCACGCCATTCACAAAAATAAACTAGATGTAAAACGTAGACCTAAAGGTAACAGCCAAAAGCATTGGGAATATCTTTACAACTGTAGGGGAGGCAAAGCTTTCTTAGATAAGTCACAAAAAGCACTAACCATAAAAGAAAATAATGACAAATTAGAGTTTGTCAAAGTTAAAAACGGTTCTTCAAAAGACATTGTTATAAAAATGAAGAGGCAAGCCACAGACTGAGGGAAAATGTTCGCAATACATATATCTGACCAAGGACTTGTATTCAGAATATACAGAGTATTCTTACAACTCAATAATAACCTCACGAGCAATTCAATTAAAAATGGGGAAAAGATTTGAACACTTCACGAAAGAAAACCAATAAGCACATGAAAAAATGCACATCGTTAATCATTATGCAAATCAAAACCATAATGAGGATCACTACGCGGTCACTAGAATGGCTGAAATGAAGGCGACTGATGGGCAAGGATGCACGGCAGTGATACTCTCATGCGTTGCTGGTGAGAGTGTAGTGGTACTACCAATTTGGAAAACAGTCTGTCAGTTCCTTTTAAAGCCAAACGTGTGCTTAACATGTGACCCAGCAATTCCACGTCTAGATGTTTACCGTGAGAGATCTGAAAACATATATCCACATAAACATATATCCACAAATGTTCATAGCAGCTCTATTCAGAATAGCCCCAAACTGAAACAATTTTAACTGGTGAATGGATAAACAAATTGTGTGATATTACTCAGAAATAAAAAAGAACAAACTACTGATGCATCTCAGAAACATTATAATTAGCAAAAGAAGCCAGACACCACAGAGAGTACATACTCTGTGATTACATTTATATGAAACTCCAGAACAGGCAAAACTAATCTATAGTGAAAAAAATCCAATTGGTGGTACCTGGGGTAGAAGGTGGGGGAGATTGACTGGGAAGGGGCATGAGTGAACTTTCAGGGTGATGGAAATGTTCTATATTTTGATTGGGATGGTGGCAACATGGTGTATACATATGTAAAAACTCACAGAACTGGCTCATTCATTTTATTGTATGTAAGTTACACCTCAGTAAAGTTGATAAAATGAATTGAGTAAATTTTAATATTATTTTGTATGATACGATTTTGGTATTTTTCCATAGTTAATGTTTTAGACTGTATACAGTAGAAACTGGTATATCTTAGGGTCATCCTTGGCTTCTATTTTTAATTTAATAGTCTCAGTCTTTTGGTAAAAAGCAAAAAAATGAGATAGTAATTATATTCTTTGGTACTTTTCATAGAACCTCTTTACATATTATTTTACTTATTAATAAAGGCCAATTTTTATATATCAGCATATAAAAATCGTGATCAATTAAACTCAGGTTTCTCCTGATGTGCTCTGTGACCCTCCATAATTCCTAACTTTGATGGACTTTAGTTTCCATATTTTCAAAATGAGGCCTTTTGTCTTTGTTAACTTTAAGATTTTTCAGCTCTAAACTTTTATAATGTCTCTCTGTGGAATCGATTTGTTAAAGTAATGATCTTACTGTTTTGTTTTGATTTATTAAAACCTAATAGAGCTAGATCATTAGCAACTTTCAGGATATTTTACATTTTATTTTTTATTTATACTTTGTTCCAACTAAAATTTTAATCGATTTACAAGATGCATGGAATAAAACAAGATAAAATAAATTAAAAACATGAAAGAAAAAACGCACAAATAAAGTGGCATAGAGCAAGGAGTGAGGTTGCTATTCAGATTATATGCATGACATCCTGCATGGACTTAAGTTCAAAGCCCACTTCAGGCATTTATTAGTTGTATGACTGTAGACAAGTTACTAAACATCTCTAATAGGAGTACATTACATACACTTGTGGGTAAGTGAAAGAATGAGTAATATGTATACTTAGTGTCTGGAACATTATAGGCACTCAGTACTTTTCTTGCAAGGGTGGGGGGCGGGAATAGGAAGACTTTAGTTCAAATTCTGACTTCAACAATTGCCAGCTTTGTCACATGTCAGCTGGCTGATTTTGGACAAGGTCATAGTATAGCATAGTGTTTATAAGTTTGTACTCTGAAGCCAGACTCTCTGGGTTCAAATACATGCTCTACCACTTTCTCATTGTATATTCTTAATCTCTTGCCTCGGTTTCAACAATATTAGGTAAAATAAATATTTATGAAATAATTATAATGCTTACTTCATAGCGTTGCAGTGAGGATTAATATATAGTTAGCAGTCACTAAATGTTAGCTATTATTATCTGTGCAAGCCTCAATTTCACTGTAAACTAGAAGTCATAGCTCAGAGTTGTTACAAGGAATAAACGAGACATATAGTAATCATAAAGTACTTAGCATACTGCCTGGCGCATAAGATATCACATGCCACTAATTACTATTTTTGTTATACATTGTCTAAAGATGAATCACAAATTTGGTTCTTGGCTTTGAAGTAGCTAATAGTGAGGAGAAACACACCATTTAAAGGATTTAACAGTTTGCAGGGTAAAATAAATGAGTTGTTGGGAAAATACAACTAACATGCCCTCTTAGAGCACAGTCTGCTTTTTGGGTTCTCATGGAGAAAGCATCGTATAGTGTCTTTAATAACATAATGAGCATAGTTAAAGTAATTTATAAAAGTGGCTTCAATTTGATGTGATCCAGGTATGTGGCTCTGTGATAATCTGACTTAATTCAAGGACAGAGTTTGAGAAATGAGAGGAATGGATTGACCTTTAGGAATTTCTCTACAAATGCTTTTCTCTGCTGTGCTTTTGAAATGGCAATGAATGGGGCTGGCAGTAGTAGGTGATGCTAATACTTTGAATATTCTAGTGGTAACTTTCCTCAAGTTCAGGACTGTTAGTTTTGAAGTTTTGTTCCACTTCGTTAATTTTAAAGCTTGTATTTGCAGTTTTTAAAACAATGAGTTTGTAATTGAGAAATACCTAATTTGAAGTTTTATTTTAATACTCTTATGTGAAAGAAGTCAGTATAGCAGTTAACTTTTCCTTAGTATTAAAATTTATTTGTAGCATACTGTCAAAAAATGAGGAATTTGGAATAGCTTACCTGTATTTACTATTTTAAATGCTCCATCTCTTCTCCCCACAATGCAGAAAATTTTTTTTTAATTAAAAAAAAAAAAATCTTGGGCCGGCCGAGTGGCACGCTGGTTAAGAGCTGGCTTGGGACGCCAGACGGCCTCGGTTGGGATTCCACATATGAGGGCCAATGACACTGCCCTCTACAGCTAAGATGCTGAACAACAGCTCAACCTGGATCTGGGCTGCTGTGATAGGCTGCAGCCCCTGCTGCGTGGGTTGCCATGGGCTACCGTGTGTAGCCAGCAGCCAGTGTGAGCGGCCCTCAAGCTGCCCTGAGTGAGCAGCTGTCCAGAAGCCGGCGACTGATTTGCCTCGCCTGGGAAGAGCGCAATGATGGTGCCAACTTGGGCCAGGGAAGCAACGTCCTCCACAGCTAGACACAGGAACAAAAGGAAAGCAACTTGTCTGTTCCCCTTCCCCCAATTCCCGAGTGCTGTTCCCATCCCCCAACTCCCCAATTAAAAAAAAAAGTTTTAAAAAATCTAATTTTCAGGAAGAGAGGACTAAAAGTATATTTATAGAAAAGTAAGAAATCTTACTGTGTCTGTTTGGGGAATGCTGTTAGAATTGTGGAGAAAACAGCCCTTTGGGTTTAAAAATCTAGCAATTTGGGGATGCAGGTGTGAAAATAAATAAATAAATAAATAAATAAATAAATAAATAAATAAATAAAATCTAGAAACTCAGCTCTACTGCCAGCAATGTGACATTAACTCTTAGTTTCCTCATCTGCAAAGAAGGGATGCTACGATAATTCACACAGTATTTGTTAGATCCAAATTAAATAACTGATATGAGAGTGTTTGGATAATCCACTGTAAAAATATGTAAGGTGTGAAATTAGCAAAACTACTTCATGTGAAATTTAGACTTTTTCAAAAGTCAGAAAGTCTCCATAATTTGATCATAGGAAAAGTTCGGATGCAATGAAAGTTGGACATTAGAATGCCCTAATATTCTTCATTTAGAGAGGGTAGGTTCTCTTCTAACGTGAAGCTCTGTTGAAAAAACCTGAATATGTCATCTTTCTAATAGCTAAATGAACTTTGTAATATACTTTAGAAGTATAGTTTACATGTTCGAAATTTATTGTAAATATTTAAGCCAAGAAGATCATAGATATTATAGCCATAGTCTAAAATTTAACTATTCATATAAATAATATATAGTATATTATATATAATACATAAAATGCTCACATATTTATTTTCTTTCAGAATTCCAAAACACAAAAGGAAAATTAGAAGAAAAGAGTATATTATTCTATAGAAATGGACTGCTGCAGGTTTTAGAGTTCATTGTGTCAAACTTCATTTACATTGTGACTATGCTTTTCATTTGAAGGAAGTTTTTCAAATTTTCAAGATTTTAATGTGCCCCCACAAGATATTTGAGATTATTTTGGTTAAATATGAACCGATTTTAATGTTCACCTAAGAAGACCATAAATAGAACTAAATACTTACTCCCCCTCCTCTCCCCCCAAAAAACGCCATGTAATATATATTTCAGAATCAGATACAGGAGACTACCTCAGACTTGTGGAGTTTCTGTTATGTGTGCAGCACTGAACTACGGGGAGTACAAAAATGAATGTCAGAGATGAGAGGCTGCCAACCAGAGTCTCAGTATTTCACAGACACAGACATGAGTAATTCTAAAATAAGCTAGACAGTTCCCAGTGCTATAGACCAATATGATTCAAATTATATAGGAAGGAGAAATTATTTCTAACCAGGGACTTCGGGAGAGTGAGTGGGATTTTTACTGGGCCTTGAAGGAGCTTTGATGAAGAATGGCATTTTAGGCAAGAGGAACTTGAGCAGGGCTCTAAATGAAGGAATGTAAGATAATTTGGATAAGTGTGAGCAGAACATTTTGGCTCGAATATGAGTATTGTGGACTGGAGGAGTAGAAATGGGGCTTGAAGTGGTTTGGGCCTAGACTTTGGCGGGCCTTGAGTGGCAAGCTGAGAAATCTGGAATTTAGCATATTTTATTTTTGCATTAAATTTCAGTAATACAGCAGTTTTTAGTCTACTTATATTGCTATGAAATATTTGACAAAAAAACAGAGAAAATTCTCCATATGGTCTCACTCAGAAAATTCTTTTAATAGCTTAGAATAGAACTGATTAAAACCTTGACTACCGTGGAAGTAAACATTTGTTTAGCACCTGCTGTTGGCTGAACACTGCATTTGGCACTGGGAAAGATAAAGTATAGCCTTTGAGCATCAGTTAATGACATAGTTGTAGAGACAGAACACACATGAAACAGAAGAGCATTTATAAAGCTGCAGTGTATCATTTGCTTTGTCACTTTAGAATCTCTTTTACTTCAGTTCTCTCCCAGGGCCAGTGCTAGCATAAATATGTCTGGTTTATTCATTCCAGATAGGCAAAAAGTTAGGCAACTGTTGGAGAGGCATTTTTCTGCCTTGCTGTTTGGAAATGTTATAAATCTCAGGTGAGAATAATTGGGGTGATCCTTGCCACCATCCAGACTGGCAGTATCTTTAGAATAACCCCGGGTGTAGATAGGAGCCATCATAGAAACCATGTCAAGGCCACACACAATCTTTTCAGTTCATGAGGCCTGGTTCTCAAAGGCAAGAAAGTGTTCTACAACAAGAAGAACAAAACCTAACTAACTTACCTTAAAAAGGAGTTAGTGGGAAATGCTTTACGTATGGTAATTATCATAAGGTGGTAGGTGATTTGATAGATTAGTTTTCTTACAAGATTAGTGTTCCCTTATAATCTCTGTAGAGCTGGTAACTTTTTTTGGTTATCTCTTTCTCATCTTTATTAAGAAAGTAGTATTGTGCTTAAACTCTCCTAATTATGTGTAGTAATTTCTTACATGTTTATGAGGTACTTGTAACCTTAAAATGTTACACAGCCCTGGCATGGACAAGTCAGACTGAGGCTGAAGGAATTGCTCATTTATTCCTACACACCCTGGGCTTGCTCACCTTTGCAACGTCGTTCAAGTTTTCCCCTTTACCTGGAATGACCTTCTTCTTTCTCCTTGTCTTTGACTTTCTCAAGCTGGTAACTTTAAAATGCAGTATGTTGCAGAGTAATTTACTCATAATCATAGTTCATTTACTATATATATATATATATATATATGTATATAGGTATCTAGCAAACATAGTATATATGCTATATATGTATATAGGTGTGTGTTTGTGTGTGTATGTGTGTGTGTGTGTGTGTATCTATATAGCAAATGAATATATATATTCCACTTTCATTTAGTTCTTAATGATTCTTTCCCTTAATGTCTGTTTTTAAAAAATGCCCCTTTATATATTTAAGATATGATTACGTAGAATAATAACTTCCCTTTGCTTTAGGATTAATCAGTTGTTTCAAGTGCTTGGAGCTTTATGTATGAAAACATAATATAAATGTGTTGTCATTATTGTAATAATGGTAATTATTACCACATCAGTTAATACCATCTGTTTTATTCTTATTTTTTGTTATGTGGTTCTTAGGTTCAGAATTTAACATTACGCAGCCAGAAGTTGGGTGTGTTATCTAGCTCACAGAATGGTCCTCCAAAAAGCGCTAGTCAAACTCAATCATTGACAATTTGTCATAACAAAACAACAGTGACCAGTTCTAAAATCAGTCAACGAGATCCTTCTCCAGAAAGTAATAAGAAAGGAGAAAGCCCAAGCCTGGAATCACGAAGCACAGCTGTCACCCGGACATCTAGTATTCACCAGTTAATAGCACCAGGTGGGATAAAACTTTTGTTGAAAATAGTTGCATTATTCATTTTCTTAGCAGGCAGAGCGAAACAAAAGCTGTCCACTACCTGAACAAGAATAATACTTTAAAAATGTTTTAAAAATGTGAATTTGGTAAGTTAAAAAAAGAACATCTCAATATTGAAAAAAGAGAAATCAAAAGAGCCCAACAGCTAAAACAAATTATAATAAGACAGGTTTTTTTGTGTTTTTTTGTCAACTGACATTTGATTAACATCTTCATTATGTGCTGGTCTCTCATTTTATAATAAAACCTTTTAGCTTTAAAACCAAGATTTGCCAGTAGTTTATTTAATATGTTGTAGAGGAACAAAACTAAATGCCTTTATAAAAGCAAGCATATTTTTTAAAGTTGTCATTAGTGGGAGAAATTTATCATTTTCCAAAAATAAGGATTATGCATAATGATTTTCCTTACCACACTGCTTTTTTCCATCTTTGATTTCATCTTTGAGAGGAAGATGTCAGGGGATCAACTAAGTCTTTTTCATCTTCATCAAACTTTTGAGTCCCACGTGTGCTCACTGCTATCTACAGATAACTTTGCTTCATGATTCTCGTGCTGAAAATGTTGGGGCCATTCGGAGTGAGTTTCCTTACTATCTCTTCTAATCATCCCAGAATTTCTCAGTGTTGAGCTTTCTTCATGTTTAATGAGATAAGGAATTGTTTCCTTTCTTCTTTAAAGTTAGCACTATTTGCTTGTGTCAATGATTGCATCTTTTTTACCAGCTCCTGACCTTCTCTCATAGTTATGATTGTATATTTTGTCTCCCTCCTGCTGGATTTTTTCCTTTGTTTGTCAAGACTTAGGTTTCCCCTATTCTTAACATATCTGCACATATTTTTATACCAGTATAACTATTGTTTATTGAAAGTATGTGTACGTGTGTCATGCACTGTAGACTAGACACCTCACGTTTCATTAAAAAAAATCCTCCTTTGATCCAACCTCATCAGGTGAGCATCTTCCTTCTATCCTTTTGTAACTCTGCACTACTTTTTAAAGGTTCATTTTACACTGCTGAAGTCTGCTTTTTCTCCACCTAAACCTATTTCTCTTTTCATGTTTTCTCTGTGCTAATATTGCTGAAATTCTCTACATCACCCAATCACAAAATGTTGGGATAGTTTGATTCCCCTAGTTAGAAATCTCTCATTACTCTGAATTTGTATAGCATTTTTATGCTCCTTTATATACTTTGTTCTTTTATAGTTATTTATATACTTACTGATCTTAGCTTTTCTACTAAACAATAAGCTCTTTGAGGGTAGGATAATAATACTGAGCACTTTTGTGTCAGGCAGTTTACATTTATTGATTCTTTTAATCCTTTTTCAGATTCACCTTTTCATCCTTTTATATTGACCGCACTAAGTTACACCTTGTATGTACTGATTTTTGGTGGATTAATAGTTGATTTTTTTTTCCCATTTGAATTGTGGAAGTTATAGCAGTTTTTTCCATTTGTACTAATTAGGTATCACTGTTTAGAATTCTTAAATCTGAATCTTAGATAAGTGCAGGCTTTGTTACAATGTATAAATTAATACATTTATTCATGTTATAGTTAGATATGAATTCTTTTTTAATAAACATCTGTGTGCCAGGTCCTGCTTTCTGTATGGCTTGACCACAGGATTTTTATATTGAATTTTCCAGAGTATTTTCAGTCTCAACACAGTCTCTGGCCAGAGTTGATAGGAGTCAGCAGGCAGCAATGACCCACTGTGCTTGGAATGACTGCTCAGGGGACAGCTTCCAGTGATTCCTATAGTTTTGATAGATTATAATGTAGGGTAGGTTAATTTCCTTCCAAAGGCAATGCTACCTTCAGAGAAAGCTAAGAACTCTTCCAGGGTTACTTCAAGCAAGGAGATCTACTTTCAGATTTTCAGTCTCCCTGAATTCCCAACACCTGGTTCTAAGTTGACACTTATTCTTCCCTCTTTCATTGATAGTGTGATAGTATTTATGTAGGTATGCAGGAGACCAGCAAGCTGAAACCATCAGTGAGTCTCAGGACAACTTATGTGTATTAACCACACTTCAGTGTTCCATGATGTTGCTTAGAAACTAAACCATGGAACATCCTAAGTCACATAAACCTTTGTAGCTACCAAACTTATAAGTTCATTAAAATTTGTTCAAGCCTTATGCTGCAAATATTCAAACAATTTGTATTTTTTGGCAAGTCAAAAGCCATATTTCCCCACCCTTTTTGTTCTTCTGCTCTTGTTGGTGGGAAGTTGGTCTGAAGATAAGATTTTTTTGGAGATTCTTGAATTGGTAATTTGTCCTTTTTCTCAGTTAGAAAAATGCTTGTTCCTACAGGTCATTTTCAAATATTTTTAAAAATCTACTTGTATTCTAATGTAGATTAGTATAATAATTATTACAATGGACATGGTTATTATTTCCTAGGGTTATTGTATTTCTAGGGTGCTAAAATAATTTGGTTTTCTTCTTGAAGGTGGAGTTCCCGCTTTATAGTTAATTCTATTTTTAATATATACAGATAAACTTTAACCAAATGCCTAGAAATTATCATTAACTATATTAGAGCTCAAGTTTTTTATAGCAGTTTTTAACTTTTATGAAGTTAGTCTAGTTGAGAAAAATGTATACCATTTTTTGCCAACATTAATTCAGTGTGTAGTGAAAAGTCTGTATCAGTCTGTTCAGGCTGCCATTAAAAACAATACCATTAAAAACAATAGAATGGTTGGTTTAAACAACAGAAATTTATTATCTCACAGTTCTGGATGCTGGAAAGCCCAAGATCCAGGTTTAGCGGTGTTTGGTTTTTGGTGAGAGCTCTCTTCCTGGTTTGCAGATGGCTGCCTTCTAGCTGTGTCCTCACATGGCCTTTCATCCGAGTGCTAGGATAGAGAGGATAGCAGGCTCTCTGGCATCTCTTCTTACAATGACGCTAATTCTTGTAGGTCAGGGTCCCACTTTTCTTACCTTATTTAACCTTAATACTTTCTTAGAAGCCCCATTACGAAATGCAGTCACATTAGGGCTTAGGGCTTCAACATAAGAACTTTCGGGGATACAAACACCCATTCCTATGGACTTATTTAGGACTATGGGCTCTTGTGATTTCAGGCAAGTCATTTAATGCTCAGAGTTTACCGGTAGTATATATATTGGATTAATGTAGCACCCTGTCTTCCTCATGGGGTGGTTGTAACTATTGAATGAAATCATGTATTTAATAATTTACAATAATATATTTAATTATTTACAATAATTAAAGAGTTCTACATATGTGAGATGATACCAATCATTAATTTTTCAATTATAAGGCCCCTCCGACAATGATAAAGTATTTATTAAAATCAGAGAAATAAACAAACATGATATGATTCTCCAGAGCACTATGACTTTTCTTGGACAGAAGTATTGTTTTAGATATCCACATAATTATTCTTTAATATATGTGCTTGTCAGTAGGGCTTATGGACTCGTTTTATTATAAAAGAAAAATTTAATCTTGTTGAAAAGATAGATTATTAATCTATTGAATTATCAACTCTATAATATAAAAGAAAGATTACTTACTTGCTAGAACACAGAAAATTTTTATTCTTGTGAATAAATATCTACTGTATGTCAAGAATATAGTGTTTTAATTATAATTTTAAAAATTGAATTAAAGTGGGCCTTTGCTATTATGCTTGCAAACACTATTTCCTTATCTGTAAAAGGGGAATAATAATACCTACCTACTCCATAGGCAGTCTTTTTTTTTTTTTTTAGTACAAATGGGAGGGATCTGAAAGCACCTTGAGCCCCTTGGAGGCAAGGCAATCTATAGAAATCCAAGGTTTTATTGAATATAGAGTCTTTAGCAACACATTTATAAAGTGCTGACGTAAATTTTCAGTTTTACTTTGAAGTGCCAGTCTAGTTATGGGAAAACTATTTTGTTAAATGAAATTGTAGACCTAATTTCCACTTTTTTTTTTACAATTCATGGATATTTGTTGAACCTTCTAAATTCCTCTTTTTTGAGATGTTAATCAGATGTTAATTTCCTCAAAGGATCTCCAAAATTTTAAATACTAACCAACCAAATGCAAAAATTTGGTTAGAAGTTGTTAGTAGTTTTTATAAGGCCTTTGTCACACATGTGGTTGAATATAAAAATAGATGTAAGACATTATAATCTTTATCTTAACATTGAGATTAAGAAAATTTTTTGCTTTGTCTTTAGATCTAGTTTAAATGTGTATAATTTTTACATGATATTAATATTAAGCAGTATTTTCAGTTTGTCTTCTAGTGAACCCAGTTTATTTTTTAAATTTATTTTCAATTAACAGTTGACACAATATTAGTTTCAGGTGTACAACATACTGATGATATACATTTATATATAGTGAATCTAGCTTTCATTCTTATTTAATAGAAAGGATTTCACCAGCATCTCCCTCTGTGTAAACTATATGCACCAGTGTGCACAAGAGGCGTAATGATGGGAATACCTGATTTTGCTAATTCTTATATACATTACCTTGTTGTGAGTAGCTCCTCTGTGGAGAAGACTGGACTATCACTTATATAGTACTGTAGGTTTGTTTGTTTTTGTTGGGAGAAAGAGAAGTAAAACAAGATCCTTTATTTAGCCAGCACTGACTTCTGATTGTCTTCTTTTCTCTGCAAGTAAAACTAGCGCTGTCCTAGATTCTGAAGGCCCCTGAAATTTCATTTCTTAGTTACAGTGATTATTTGACTGTGCTCTAGGATTCCATATCTGTTTTTGCTTAACTGAATTAACTTTTTATATAAAACATTTTTTCTTTCTGGGTCAAATTATACCAACTCTTCATCTTGGCTCAATTTGGAAACTTATTTGGGAAGCTGTATAAGTAATTACATTGACTATTAGTTGGAAGAATGTTTAGACACAGATTAGAAAGGATGAGACCTTTATTTTATGTATTTTAATATTGCATTTTTTTACGATTTTGACATTATTTTTATAAATATTAAACTTGTTCAGTGATACTCCTCCTCTTCTCCCCAAAGAAGGAATTCAAGTGGATAAACTTTGTTAAAAGTTAAGTTAATGTGTTATAGAATTGTACACTATAAACCTATATAATTTTATTAACCAATCTCACCCCAATAAATTTAATAAAATTTTTAAAAAATGTAAAAGTTAATGAAGATATTCTGGGGACCTATAAAATTTAATAAGAATAAATTGTGTAGACTCAGATTTGTAAAGTAATTGTTTTAGGCCATTTTCTTTTGGAACTTATTACAGTACAGCTTATTTTCTGAAATCTTAATAGTTTTCTAAGAAAAAGTTTGTCATTACATTTTCAAGTTACTCTTGTCTGGAAGACTTTAAATAGATCTCTGATGATTATGACCTTCTGATGTAAAACCTTTCCTCCTTTAGATTTATTTAAAATTTTCTATATTTTTGAAATAAATACTAATTGTCATTTTTTTCTCTCACAGCTTCATATCCTCCAATTCAGCCTCATCCTCTAATAAAACATCAGCAGATTCCTCTTCATTCACCACCTCCCAAGGTTTCCCATCATCAGCTGATACTACAGCAGCAGCAACAGCAAATTCAGCCAATCACACTTCAGAATCCAAGTCACGATCCACCCGCATCCCAGCACTGCATACCACTCCCAAACCACGGTCTCCCCCCAGCTCCCAGTAATGCCCAGTCACAGCATTGTTCACCAATTCAGAGCCATCCCCCTCCTCTAACAATGTCTCCTAGCCAGTCACAGTCAGCACAGCAGTCTGTAGTGGTGTCCCCTCCACCACCTCATTCGCCAAGTCAGTCTCCGACTATAATTATTCATCCACAAGCACTTATTCAGCCGCACCCTCTCGTGTCATCAGCTCTCCAGCCAGGGCCAAACTTGCAACAGTCCACTGCTAATCAGGTGCAGCCTGCAGCACAGCTGAACCTTTCATCCCATCTTCCACTGCCAGCTTCCCCTGTTGTACACATTGGCCCAGTTCAGCAGTCTGCCTTGGTGTCCCCAGGTCAGCAGATTGTGTCTCCAGCATCACATCAGCAATATTCATCCCTGCAGTCCTCTCCAATCCCAATTGCAACCCCTCCACAGATGTCAGCATCTCCTCCAGCTCAGATTCCTCCACTGCCCTTGCAGTCTATGCAGTCTTTACAAGTGCAGCCTGAAATTCTATCCCAGGGCCAGGTTTTGGTGCAGAATGCTTTGGTGTCGGAAGAGGAGCTTCCAGCTGCAGAAGCGTTGGTCCAGTTGCCATTTCAGACTCTCCCTCCTCCACAGACTGTTGCGGTAAACCTACAAGTACAACCACCAGCACCTGTTGATCCACCAGTGGTAAGCCCTTGGAAGCTCTTTGACTTTCTTGCTGAAATGAAAGTAAAAACTGTTTTCTCCTACATATGTTATATCGCTAGATCTACATGCCTATGAATATAAAAAGCTTGAAATTTCCATCTGTCAGTGTCTGACAAAAATGCTGTATGGGCAAAAAAAACCTGCCATTTGTTGTAGTATGGTTGCATGCTTGATAATTTGTGATGGTTATTAAAGTCCCTCGTTAATTTTATTACTATTTAAACAAATCCATCTGCTATCTTTACAGAGTTGATTTTTTTTCCCCAAGGGAATGCATTTGAACCAGTGTCATCTGCACAAAGTTTTTTCTCTTAAGGTGATTATCCTATTGGCTTGTATGTTCTTAAACGTATGGTTTATCTAGCGAACCTTTTAGGTTGTGTGCATTCTGAAGTCGTCCTGGGTCTTTAGGGACTTTTGTTTCAAGATGGAGGTATGCTTGTACGATGTACTTTTTTGGTAAAATTATATTTTATAATTAAAATTTTGTCAAAACATTTATTCTATGAAAGAATCCAACTTTGCCAAAAAGATTAAATGTAGAATTATTAAACTTCTGATTTTTAAATTTCTAGTAAGGGGAAATTATATACTTAAAATGTTTCTCATTTAAAAAGCTAAAAAAAATCTCAGTACATGAATGGTAAGGATGAAAAAATCCATTGGGAGGAGTAAAAGTTTTGAATAATTGAGATTGTGGTGAATTTGTCAAACTAAACCTCTAAAAATGGTATGTTGCCTAAAAAAGGAAAATTATCTTGAAAAATGTTTTCCTTTAAATATTCTCTAAAGAACTTAAAATATATAAAATAATTAACAATAAAAATTGAATAAGGTCTTGGTTAGGCAGAATAATCAAATTCATAATTAATTTGTAACTGAGGAAAACAGTCTTCCCAAAGGAGGTTTGATATCAAACTTCACAGAAGAGATTTTATCACTTAAAGACCAATAACCATTAGCTCAGAAAGGAAAGACGCTTCAGAGTCTGTTCCTTAATGGGAAACATTTTGGTTCTCAGGATGCAAATTTATATAGATTCTTTATTCTTGTCATTCAGACTGACCTTAATAGGCATAAAGAGATTGAATTTGACTTCCTATTCACTTTTATTAAAAACAGAACTTGAGGGGGGGAAAAAAAGGGCATCTAGAAGTAAATTTGTCATTCAGTTATCATGTCTCTCTGTTTTCTTTTAATGGAGTTTTGAAGAATTTACATTGGATATTGTCACATGAAAACACAGACTTTGAAGTGTACAGTACCTTCAAAGAAATCAAATTTAGTTTAAATTTATATTCTCACTTTCTAGTTTGGTGAATTGGTTTTTAACAAGTACAAAATTTTCTTTATATGCTTTATGTTTTCTTAGGGTAAATTTTGAAGGAACATATTTGGGATAGACATATCAAAAACATAATAACACTTTAAATGAAACTTAAAATATTTAAGGTTTTATTTTGTTACTTCCTGTCATCTCTTAAAAAATGTTTTTATTTTATTTTGTTAGCTCATTTTTGGAAGCTTTGGTTTTTTCCCCCCATGAAAATAGTAATTTCCTCTGCTATTACTGGTACGGTTATACTTGCTATCGATGTTTCCATATTATCTTTCTTGGATTACCAAAGCCTATTTATTAAATTGCTGTAATTTTCTTTTATTACCTTTGATCAAATCTTTTTTTTAATCAAATTGCATTTCTTCACGAATTACTCATTTCTTCACAATTTCTTGGTTGTTTCAAATATAGAGATATTTACTTCTTAAGGGATGTGAAATTTTGAAAGATAAGCGTGAATTATCAGAGTAAAAGCAGTATGTTTTTAAAAAGGCATATATGTGAAACTAAAATTTTTCATTGACATTTGGGTATGATAAGATGTGAGAGTAGATAATTTGGAACTAATAAATGTTCCAAGGTTTATTTAGGAAAAGAGACAGATTAGACTAATATACATCATTGAGGTAAGTTTGGTAGGCATTGCTAGTTTAAGAATAGCTGTAGTTATGAGCTAAACAAATTGTGATGTGCAGTTTCCTAATGATTTTGTGAGGGAAACCTCCATTTCTTTGCTTTATTCAATATTTTAGTTGTTGCATTTAGATTTTATGCTGATGGTGCCGTGTCTTTGATAGATCTGTTTTTGCCTACTATTCATTAACTTCTTTTGTCTTTACATGGAAGATTTGGAAGAAAGTATGTATATTTAGGCTTAGAATGAAAAGTATTTTACAGTATTCTTTGATGGATTATTTCAGAATATGCTATTTGTGTTCTGCCTCTTTTTATGATTTAAAACTCATTGATTTTTAAAATTCAGAATTTATGCATGATCAAACTTCGATTCCTTAAAAGGTACTATAGTAGGTGTTCGAGAAACTTGTGACAGCATTAATATTAACAAGAGTTTCAACATTTTAAGAAAAGATAGTGATCTTTGGAGAAAAAGTAATATCTAAGAAGAGAATATACACAGATACAATTGAACTGGTTAATAAATCCATACTATAATAGTTTAATTACCTCTGAATCAGCACCTCCACCACTCCAACCAAATTAAGGTAACCACCACTACAATAGATGCCCCTCACTAGAAGGTCTTTTTTCTTTTTCCTTTAACCCCTAGGATAATTTTTTTGGCTGACTTTCCCTAAATTAGACATTATCATCATTTGAAAATAATTATCATTAGCAGATATTAGCAGCTATCATTGTTGCACTGTACAATAATCAACAAATGCTTTCACTTCTGAGGATCCAGACATGAGGCAAGGAATCTCTCTTGGTGAAACAGGTTTCCAGATGCAAGGTTGTGAGCAAATACTGTTAAAAATGTTGCCTACTTAGTAGCTGATTCAGGTCACAGCTCTGGATATTATATTTGCTATAAAATTACCATTAACAATAGAATTTAAAAAAATTTTTTTTAAAGCAAAAGAAAAGATTTCTTAGTAGAGGCTTAGAAAGTTAGTCTTTCTTTTTAAAACTATTGCTGTTAGATATGCCTTTGGAGATGAAACTTCATAGTCCTTTTTATAACACATGGGTTATGCTAGTTTCAGAAATCTTGATCACTTTTATATTTAATCATGTATACTTAAAATCATCAAACTTTCAATTAAAAATACATACAGTATTAGATATCACTTAAAGTTTTTTCTTAAGGTTGTTGAAAGGTTTTTTGTTTTAACATTCATTAGAGTATTAATCAGTTTGGGTAAGCACTCTTAAAAACTCACAACCTTTGTAAATTTAAGTAATAAGCTTTGTACAAGAAAAGAAGGGAGGTAAATTGCTTTGTGGCTTTTTTTTGGTAACCTATCATCTTTCAAAAGTAATGGTTAAATAAATAACTATAGCAAATTAAAACACCCATGTTAGTCTCTAGAAGTGGACTTTGAAAATTCAGCCTTAATTTTAATGAAAATTTAATAAGTTATTTTTAGTTGTGCGGTTTCTTCTCAGAGTGCTTTTGAGTCCACTTTTTCTTCTTAAGTATAATCTTTACCACTTGATAACAAGGTAGTTAAGTTAAAGACTTAAAAACTTTCCTCTGTAAGTATGGAACAATATTAAGAACTAAAATTAATACCTCAAATTGATTAGAATGGTGTGTGTGTTCGTCTGTATGTATTATTTCAAGGGCAGATATTTTCTATTTACCTGATATTAGCTTGTAAAAAGTTATTAGATTTTTGAGTAGATTAGAAGATTGAAGAAAAGATATACTTACATACCTTTTTTGTAGATACTCAGACATTACTTTTCATTATCTTTAATGCACACAAATATAATAAAGATCCTGGGATATAGTCCTTTAAGTCAGTACATTTCCTGATATATTATTGCATGTCATTTTGGAGATATACTTAGTGTGTTTGAGGAAAATACCATCTTTTTTTATTTATGGCAATTGGAAGTTAACGGAAACAATAGTAAATTCCCAAAATAAAGTATATAAAATCAAAACATTTCTTTTAATTCTCAAAATTAAAAATATATCCTGACTTGACTGTTGTTACCTTTTTGGAAACCTTAGTGATTTGTAGCCTAGATACTGATCCACAATTTGCTTTTATTAAAATATCAAGCATTATGAAAACTTCATTTGAGTGATTTTAAAGTTTTGTTTTGCCTTGTTTTCAAGTTGAAAACACTTAAAATCTATTTTTTAAAATTAAGTTAGGAACATCGTGTTGAATGTATTTTTAGAAACATTTTAAGGCAGTGTGGTTTGATGTTGCAGGTTTATCAAGTAGAAGATGTGTGTGAAGAAGAAATGCCAGAAGAGTCAGACGAATGTGTCCGGATGGACAGGACCCCACCACCACCCACCTTGTCTCCAGCAGCAATAACTGTGGGGAGAGAAGATTTGACTTCTGAACATCCACTGTTAGGTGAGCAAATATCTAAATTGGGGGAATTTTCTATGAGATAATTTTTTTTTAATTAAAGTTTTTGGGGTGACAATTGTTAGTCAAGTTACATAGGTTTCAGGTGTACAGTTCTGTAATACCTCATCTATATATCACATTGTGTGTTCATCACCCAGAATCAGTTCTCCTTCCATAACCATATATTTGTCTATTAGATAAATTTGTTATGTAATTGCAGCATAGATTAGAATTCAAGATTTTTTTTTTAATTAGAAATAATTAGGACAATTGATGAGGAACCACCCAAATAAAAAACATATTGTAGGCTTCTAATTTTTAGTGGTTTGTACAGATGTGTTTCCTATGCCCATTCATATTCACGTGTCAAGCTATTTCTAGCTTAAAAATTGGAATAAATCAAAGTTCTATCAAAAGATTTCAGTGATACTTTCCAAAATCACAAAGCATTCTAAGTCATATCTGACATTCCTAATAATTGCTTGTGATCCAGACTGAATAAACGCTTTCAACAGTGTTCTTTCCTAGACAGTACTTAAATTAAGCCTCACTAATTCTTACTGGAGACATGGAATTAAAAAATTCTTGAGCTTAAGCAGTCAAATTTTTATTCACTACAATGCTACCTATAAGTTCAAGTAAATCTTTTGTTTGCTTACAATATCAAATGACTATGAATATTAGGTATTTTACTAAAACATTAGTATGACCTATTGCTCAGTGTCAAGGTCCTGAAAAAGATACATTCTGTGTTAGGTTGTTTTTTTTTAATTTACCAATATTTAAGTAAGGGTTTGGCAAACTAGCTTACACTTTAAATCTTTTCTGCTGTCTCTTTTTGTATGGCCCATGATGGCTTTAAATTTTTTAAATGGTTGAAAAAAACAAAAGAAGAGTAATATTTCATGTCATGTGAAAATTATGTGAAGTATGAATTCCATGTCCTTTATAAAGTTCTTTGCAACACAGCCTGTTCATCTGTTCAAATATTATCTATGGCTACTTTTGTGCAAAGGTGAGTAGTTGCAGAGACCATATTGTCCTTTATAGAAAGTTTGCTGACCCCTGACCCAGATAATACTAATGTTGGTTCAGGCTTTGTTATAACTATTCTGTTCTATTGAATATCTCTTGGCCCTCGTGATCATTTCGGGTAAAGAACCACTATAACAGGTATGGTAACAAACTGTAATGAGACACTGACTTTGCTACCAAAGCAATGCTTGTCCTCTTTTTTCTTCAACATGCTACATTCCTAACCCTTCCGTTCTCTCCAGCTTTTATTCCATTACTACCAATATGAATCTCTGAGAAGCATAGAAGGGGTAAAATCAATTTTCTTCCAATTTTCCCCCTTCTTGAAAAAATAGAAAATGTTTAGTCAGTAAAATTGTATGAAATATTTCAGACAGGTTTATTATTGCCTTCGTTTATTTAAAATAATATTTCAAAAGATAGATTTAAGGAAATCTAACTATAGTATGAAATCTTTGTAGTTTCCGTACACTGAGAATGGATTTATGTTGCTGCAGCTTTTCTGGAATTTTTATTTAAAGATAGAAATAGCAGATTACAGTAACTGCATACCAACTTTGCATTTTGACTGTGATTTAATTACCTGATAAGCGTTACTAATGGTATTCATTTAAACATTTTTGAAATATTGGAACACAATATCTTCACATTTTTTCTTCAGGAATATAGTCAGAGATCTCGTCAAGCATATCCCTCTGGCTAAATTATCTAAGTACAATGTAGACTTTTGAATCTTCCCGTAATTTACTTCATACTTATTACTTTTCTGTAGTATATGAGGGGGAAAAGCAAGCAAGGTAGGTATTTAGAATAACGCTCATCAAATCATGAAATAAACTAACCTGCAAAGATAAGGGGACTTCTTTCCATCTAGGATTCAGTTTTCATAAATCTCTGCTCTTTTATAATTTTTCTCAGATAAGTGTACTCACTGATATTCCTAGCTATCAGCTGGTTCCATCTGTTCACTTTAGTACAGGCAGGCAGTAAAGGTCGCTGCTATTGAGTGGGTAGGTAAAGTCTCCACCACAGGCTGTCGGGTCTTATCTTACTGTGGTCCTCAAGAGTTTGAAGGGGAGGAATCACCGAGATCCAGCCCAACACTTGGCAATTGCCTGGCACTACAGTTTCCCCCTGACATTGACAGTGCCACTGAAGAGTTATAGAAACAAGACAAAACAAAGAACATTTACACATGGATTTGGATTAGCCTTACTGCTTGAAAAAAGGTGATGTGACCTGTGCAGTTCATTAAAATCTTTACTTATTCTATGGATTTCATGATCCTTTTTTATTTAAGCATACTTTCCAACTACGTTCCCCCCCATACCATGTGGAATATATAAACAGGAACATAGGGAACTTAATATCTATGTAGCTTAAAAATTTATGAAAAGCAACAATTTCAGTAAATATTCTTAAGTTGACATTCTAAAACATATTCATGACTTACGGGACAATTCTTTTTTACCACGGTTGGAATGATAACTGGGCAAGTCACCCACTTCTTCTGTAAAGTGGGGATAATAGTTTCTATCTCCTAAAGTTATTGTGCAGATTAAATGAGATAATAAATATGAAGTTCTTAGAATGGTTTTTTAAAGCACCACATATTAACTACTATTGTTATTAATGTTTATTCTTTTTTTTTTAAAGATTTTTATTGGGGAATTGGGGGGATGGGAACAGCGCTGGGGAATTGGGGGAAGGGGAACAGAGAAGTGCTGTCCTTTTGTTCTTCGGTCTAGTTGTGGAGGACGTTGCTTCGCTGGCCCAAGTTGGCACCATCATTGCGCTCTTCCTGGCTGAGGCAGATTGGCTGCCAGCCTCTGGACTGCCGCTCACTGCGGCTGCTGGCCGCTCACGCTGGCTGCTGGCTACACATGGTAGCCCATGGCAACCCACTGCAGCAGGGGCTGCAGCCTATCACGGCAGCCCAGCTCCAGGTTGAGCTGTTGTTCAGCATCTTAGCTGTGGAGGACAGTGTCACTGGCTCTCATATGTGGGATCCGAACCGGGGCCCTCTAGCGTCCCAAGCCAGTTCTTAACCATTGCGCCACTCGGCCGGCCCTTAATGATTATTCTTGAATTTTCTTTCATATTTGCCTGGACAGAATGCTAAAGATGTAAAAAAATGATTTTTTGTTTTGTTTTCCAGAGCAAGTGGAATTACCTGCTGTGGCATCCGTCAGTGCTTCAGTAATTAAGTCTCCTTCAGATCCTTCACATGTTTCTGTCCCTCCTCCTCCACTCTTACTTCCAGCTGCTACCACCAGGAGTAACAATAGTACGGCTCTGCCCAGTAGTATTCCCATTGTAGAAAACAAACCTCCACAGGCCATTGTTAAGCCACAGATCTTGACCCATGTTATTGAAGGCTTTGTGATTCAGGAGGGATTGGAGCCATTTCCTGTAAGTAACAAGCAAATTTGTATTTTTAAAATTATTCATGTAGTATTATTTTTAAATTTAGTCTATTCTCTAATAAAAAGCTTGAAGTTTTGTTTTAAAAAAGTTGTTCTTTTATCTAGAATTTATTTCTCTACATATATCCTTTATATATTCCAAATATACTTCTAAAGTTTTATGCTAGCTATTTAGATGTGTAAACTAAGAAAAATTTCAGGATATAAGGATATCAATTCCATAATTTTTAGAGAAAGGTAATTGGAAGTTTACTCCAATGAAATAAAACTTTTCTGTTTTTTCTTTTTAAGGGGACTGAAATGATACCTAAAGTGTATTTTTCTTTAATGGTGTTTCTTGTATAATGTGACACTTCGTGAACTTTCACTTGTGTACAAAAATAATAACTTCCTGATAACTTAATACTTCTGAGGTTTTCCAGTTGATGGTTTATAATTATCAAAAAGATTTTCTCATTATTCTTAAGTCTCAGCCTTCAATCAGATTTTTTAAATGCTTTAAAATATTCACCTCAAAATGGGGGTGCTTTATCACTAAAAGTCTTATAATTTGAGACTACCTGTATATAATTTATATGCTAATATCCAGAGATGAACATTTTTTCTTAAAAAATAAATAAACACATGGCCAATATCAAAGAAAGCAAAATAGATTATTTTGAAGGCATTTGAAGCATCTCATTTTTCAGATTCATGGGTTATAAAGATCTTGTGTTGTGATAGTTGGTAGCCTAATCAATTGCCTTTGTTTTCATTTTACTGTGTGTGTATTAATTAACGTTGGCTATCCTATAAGAATCCTGATTTAGTGAGTGGAAGAACAGTCTCTTCTCCCTAGTCCTCTGTGTTTGCATCCTGACTCTGCAGCACACTGACTGTGTAACCTTTATCAAGTCACTCAGTCTTTTTGATCTTCATTTTGCTCATCCAGCAAATGGAGATGATACTTTGCTCTTAGGGTTTTTGTAAGGATTAAATATGCATAAATCGTTCTGTGTACTACCTGGTACTTAATAGCCATAGCTATTATTATCAGTTATTACTAATTACAGGTTTTTTTTCAGATTACAAAAGTAATATGTATTATTTTTGAAATGGAAAATTTGGGTAATGTACAGAAAAATCCCCACTAATACCACAATGTACCGGTATATTTATGCGTATTTTTTTCATTTGATCAAGATTATTATTATATATATAGTTCTGCTTCTTTCACTTAGTATACTATCTTGAGGATTTATTTTCTCATGATTAATAGTACTTTGGAAACATTTTGAAAGGTTACATAATATTCCACTTTATGTACAACCATAGTTTATGTAATCCTTCCATTGTTGTTAGACAATTAGGTTTCCCTTTTTTCACTATTCAAATAGTCTAAAAGGAATATCTTTGTATATAAATTGCCCACATTTTAAATATTTTCTTTAGCATAAATTCCTAGAAGTACAGCTATTGCATTGCATTACATATGTGTTCATAAGATTCGATATATATTACTGAATTATTTTCTGGAATGATTATTTAAATTTATTCACACGCCAGAAGTGTATACCCCTAGCAGCACTGAATTTTACAGTTTTTTCAGCAATAACTTATAAATTTTACTTGAGGCATATTAAATACACTAACTGAAATGAACAAAATTTAAAAGTTTATTTTAAATTTAAAAGATTATTTAATTTAAAAGATTATTCCTAAGGTTAAATGTAGAAATTTCCAATAAGCTGTTGTTTACCATGTGTGGCAAATATTGGAGACTTAACCAGAATTCTTAAATAGAATAAGAGGTTCTATTTTTTCCAGATTAGCTGAGGGTTCACTAGCGAATCAGTAAATATTTTTGGTCTGGATTGTTTTTGCTAAAAAGCATTTCTAAAATAAGGATTCTTCATGACTTAACCAAGTATACTGAACATAAGTGAATTTTTTTGTTGTTGATTTTAATGTTAATGATTGTGGATTTTTCCATTTCTTTTTGTGATTCTAGTGGATTTGGGTACTAAACTAGCAATCAGGAGACTTGAGTTGTAGTCCCGTCTCTGCTTTTGTAAAAAATCACCTAAATACTTTGAACATTAGTCCCCTTATGTTTAATTATTTATTTAAATTTAAGTATAGTTGGTATATAATATTATATTAGTTTCAGGTGTACAATATACCTTCTATACCTTAGTATGTGATCACCACACTAAATCTAGTAATCGTCTGTCACCATGCAGTTATCACAATATCATTGACTATACTATTCCTTTACCTTGTCACCCATTCTCCTCCCCACCCCTTCCACCCCCGACAGCTATCAGTTTGATCTGTGTTTCTGTGAGTCTGTTTTTATTTTGTTGTTGTTTTTTTTAGATTCCACATATAAGTGAAGTCATATGATCCTTTTCTTTCTCTGGTTTATTTCACTTAGCATAATACCCTCTAGGTCTATCCATGTTGTCACAAACGGCAAGATTTCACTCTTTTTTATGGCTGAGTAATATTCCATTATATATATATATTGTGTAATATTCCTATATATATATTGTGAAAATATATGTATATATATATTTCACATTTTCTTGATCCATTCACTTATCGATGAACACCTACTGCTTCCATATCTTGGCTGTTGTAAATAATGCTGTAATGAACAGTGGTACATATAGCTTTTCAAATTACTGTTTTGGATTTCTTTGCTTAAATATCCAGAAGTGGTATTGCTGGGTTGTATGTTAGTTCTAGTTGTAGTTTTTTGAGGAACCTCCATACTGTTTTCCATAGTTGCTGCACCTATTTACAATCCCACGAACAGTGCAGGGGGGTTCCTTTTTCTCCTCATCCTCACCAACACGTTATTTGTTAACTTTCTGATAATAGCCTTTTTGACTGGTATGAGGCGGTATCTCGTTGTGGTTTTGATTTGCATTTCCGTGATAATTAGTGATGTTGAGCATGTTTTCATATGTTTGTTGACCATCTATATGTCTTTGAAGAAATGTCTATTTATGTCCTCAGCCCATTTTTGCCCTTATCTTTAAAATCTTTCCTGAGATAACCCTACAATTAAAAAGCTTTGTACATGAAAAATAAATCTTAAAAGTCGTTGTAGAAAAAAAATTAAGGATACCAGCTAATCAAAATTTATAACTGATGTTTAAAGACTTTTTCTTAACAACTTGCCCAAACTAGGATGCTAGGTTCTATTTGACAGAGACTTTGAAGCATCCGTATTGCTGATGACCTGAAATACAAAGTGTTTATATCCAGATTGCCTAACCTTTTCTCAAGGAATAAAGCACTTAATGACTGGCTCTGATCAGCTGAGCAAGCAAATTATCACAGATACCATTCTTTTCCAGAGGTTTTTTTAAAATCAACTTATTTCTGGAAGTCTTTTAAAAAATTATTTCATTTTATCCTCTTTCTCTTTTAAAGGTGAGTCGTTCATCTTTGCTAATAGAACAGCCTGTGAAAAAAAGGCCTCTTTTGGATAATCAGGTGATAAATTCTGTGTGTGTTCAGCCAGAGCTACAAAATAATACAAAGCATGCAGATAATTCATCTGACACAGAGATGGAAGACATGATTGCTGAAGGTTTGTGGATTTTATTCAAGATGCCCTTTAAATTAACTTTGACTTTTACTGCTTGAAACGTACATGGATTTTTATTCTACACAGATTTCCAGTTGGAAGTATTCACTTCTATTCTCATATAATGCATTATTTGATGTACTTTGTGTACTTTAGTGTCCATGGGAAGTACTATAGGGTGAAATGGTGAGTCACTTACTTAGTGGCTGAGGATTTGTGTTTTTGTTAGATTGTTAACCCTTAGACCTGTTTGGGATCTCCCCTCTCTTACCAGCAAAGCATTTCCTTCTCATTCATAAGATAGTTTGCTATCAAGCGTTGCATATTGTTTGTTAATTAATAAAAACTTTTGAAATAAAGCTTTCAGTATAGTCTGGAAATGGAACAACTTGAGAATTGGACTCTCTGGGGCTGAACTGCTGGCAATGGTGGTTGAGTGGGAGATTCTGTCTCTAGTACAGGCTTTTCAAGGTCAGATCAGGTTACAAGCATGACAAAGTGAAAACAATATTTCTGGAAGTTAGGACATCAGGTTCCAGGAATGTATTGTTGGGCCGCATCTGTGGGAAAGCCATCTCTAGGTCACTGTAAGGAGCAATTTTTATTTTATTTGTTTTGAGACTATTTCTTCCTCATTGCTACTAAATAGATGACTTTTGCTTATGAAGGTAGTTTTCAGAATTTCCTTAAAATGATCACTTGCCGTTGCCAGTTCGTGATTTGATGAGTCATGACAATGTATTTGCATGTCCCTTGGAACTTCAAATATTGGGTTGTCGGAAAAGTCATGACGTATTTTTTCTATTTTTCATTGCAAAAATGCATCATGACTTTTCCAACAACCCAATATTATTTTGCAGTATATTTTAGTTCTTGCTGCCCTCACTTGATTTAGCATTTTGTCATTTGCTTCTGCAGTAACACTAGGATAATGTGAGTGCTTGAACTTAATGAATACATGTTACCAGGTCTACATTTTAGAGTCCCTTTCTTTATCTTAACGAGTTTTGGTTAAATGAATAACACAGAAAAGCACTTACGGTGCTCACAGATAGAAGCTTTAGTTAGTGGAGTGCTTTTTTGCATATTTTATATGAGTTGGCTTAGGAATTATGAGGATGCAAGAAAATGGAAAAATATGGTGGATTTAAGAATTTTACAGTTTTCATGGAAGTATTTCCTAAGCACTTATTACAGATCTTGGTACTCTTAGTTGTTATGTGGAAAATAGGAAATGGAACTCTCACTTTTTATGCCTACTACCTGTTGGGCACTCATGTAATCTTCACTGCGATTCTTTGGGAAAGGTATTATAAACTCATTTTTACAGATGAGAAAACTGTGGGTCATGAAGATTAAGTTGCTTCCTTTTAGGTGACTGCCCCTGAATACCTGAGGATTTAGGGAGGAAGTTTCTTTAGGTCCTGTGGAATGGCTACAAGAAAGTTACGGATATAGAGGTGGAAGAAGGACAGTCTAACTTAATAGAGAACAGCCTCAAAAAAAGGAGCAGAGGTTAGAAATTGTAGAACTGTTTGTGATTTTAAAGATTACAGTATTATGAATGATTTTTGTTTTACTATAACTAAAAGGGACTGTTTTATCATTAGATGTATACATCTTTATATATTCTATTGTACACTATGGATCTCTGAGAGTGTTAATTATTTAACATGCTCCTCTAATACCATGCATATCAAAATTTTACCTTCTTCTTGAAGTCATCCTTATGTTCTCCAGTTAGAATTAAGTGTTCTGCTCTGTATGTCTCCGTTGCACAGTGTACCAAAATTCATATCCCACATGGTGCATTTTGAAAGTGTTCCTCCTGCAGGTTTTTGACTTCGTCTTATTCATCCTCTTTTCTCTTACAGTGCTTAATAAAGTTACTTGCACATTTTTGACATGTTGGTTTCTTAGAAAAATGAACCTTTACAATGTATTGCTTATTTATATAGAGAAAACCCCATAAAATTTTAATGCAGGAGAAAGAGAGAATTAGTGGAGGTGGCTGTTTTTGGAGGCTTTTGCCCTGCCAAAGTAGCTGTGGATTGAAAAGTTAAAGGGCCATTCCTTTTAAGTTTCCTGGAGGGTTTGAATCCAACCAAAGTTGAGGCTAAAAGAAAATTGGCCACAATTAAATTTTTGTAAGTTTTACCCTTTGTTTCCTTCTTTTTTAGAGACATTAGAAGAAATGGACAATGAATTGCTCAAGTGTGAATTCTGTGGGAAGATGGGATATGCTAATGAATTTCTACGGTCAAAACGATTCTGCACTATGTCATGTGCCAAAAGGTATTTCTATTCTCTTGAATTTCCTAAAGCATAAACCAACAACCACTATGACAAAACCAAAACACTTGTAGAGCTTATAGTTTACCAGTAGTCAAAACTAGATATTATAATATCAAATAGGAATTATCTGGAGTTAGTTTGGTATTTAGTTATTAAGTTTTGCTTTGTGAAAGTTACATATTCATAACACTTTAAAATTAGTTTCATAGCATAATCTAGTATTGAAGTAGCAATCTCCTTGGTGGTTAGAATGTACTTAGGAGAATCCCTCCTGTGAATATCAAAACAATATTTGTTTTATCATCTGATTTTTTAATCAATATTGAAATACCTGGATTTACTTTGTTTTATTTTAAAATGTTTTCATTTGTTTTAACCATTTCCTGTTAATTTTAGGTTTCTAAGTGGGACAGCTATAGCATAAGTTTTCCACATTGTTACATCATCACCAAAATATGTCTTTTCTAAATCGGTACTTTCAATAATAATATTGCAGGTAAATAGTATTAATAACAAAAGAAATGTTTAGTATATTCATTGATCTTGTCTCAAGTTTAGTTTACATTTAAAAAAACCCTTTGATTCTGATAATTGTAAACAATTCATAAACAGCAACCTCATTTAAAGTGAAGTAGGGAGGCCAGAAGGGGGAGCCCTTGTGCCCTCCGTCCCTTGCAAGGCACACGGGGAATCCTCGACAACCCTTCCCAACTTGCTTTTCCCCTACATAAAAGAATTTCCTCTCTTTAGTTGAGGAAATAGACTAGAAAAACAGAAGAGCAGAAGGGACAAGCTGTCTGACTCTTAGTGGCTCGCCAGGGTTGCATGTACTGGATTGCAATTCCTTCATTGTTCTTGAATAAACCCATTTTGCTGGAGAAATAGCTGGCTGATTTTTTCTTACAGTCAACATAATAAATCCTAATACAGGTATTTACCACTAAAGATGAAGTGTATGTACAGGTTGATTATTTTGAAGTTTGCTCTCTGTTCCAAAAAAGAGTTTTAAGATCATAATTGTATACATCTAGGGAATTTCTTACTTGAATATATTATTTAGTATGGTGCCACTAAAATAGTAAAACTTGGTATAAGCATTGTACTATTAAATAATAGAAGTATTTTCCTCCAAAAATGGGCTCATTGGCTTCTTCTCAATTGTCAATCTGTTATTCAGATATTTTGTTCATGTTATTGATAGTCCTAATCAAATTGTGACTTCTGTTTAACTTGGGAGTTTTCCAGTTTGCATTTACCACAAGAAAGAACAGTGGCTCTTTGATTCCAAGCGATTCAAAACTCTGAGGGAAAAGGTCTGCTTTTCAGAATATTTTAAACTTCTTGACTATTTAGAAACATTCCTGGACATTTAACACTACCGTCACTGTTCTCCCAGAGATGATTGCTGAGTTGTCACATTATAATACCTTTAGGTGAATCTCTTTAGAAGGTTAGGGGTCCTAACATAGGACATAGGAAAATGCGGGCCAGGGAGTAAAGAGGAGAGGATAAATTCGGTCAGGGAAGCACAGCTGCTGTTTACATGACTGCCTAGCTGTCTGTCTTGGAGATCTAAATATTTAGGGACTAAATAGTAAGTGTAATGTTAGTTTCTTTTATGTTCTTTTAGTCAATGAGGAAGGAAGTTTTGTCAATTGATATGAATGCAAATCAACCCTACAGAGCTGAGCCCACAGATGAACATAATTAACACGAGCTTGTTAAATTGTTTTAGGGTAAAATGAAGTGGCCATCAGGACACTTGCTTTTTTATATTTTTAGTGGGGGGAGACTGTTCATTCTCATAATACTCCTTATTTCTGCCTCCTGATACTGTCATAACATGTAGGTGAGGAAAATTTATTTTGGTATTTGTATATTGGTCCTAAAACAGTTATTAATAGCAAAGTTAATTGGGATTTATTCTTGTCATTTTTCTGAAACATTATTGTAGAGCAAAAGAGTTTTGAAAATAAGTTACAGTGGTGGTTTTATATGTATGAAATAAAGGAACTGCATGTATTTTTCTTAGCTTTTCTGTAGCTTTTCAAAAATTTGTTTCTTAGGTTATTTCTTTTCAGTCTTCTAGGGAAGGGCTTGGCAAACCATGCCCAGGCCGTCATTCCTGTAGCCTATGTATGTATGGCCCCTGCACTAAAGATGGTTTTTAAATGTTTAGGTGGTTGAAAAAGAAGTCAAAAGAAGAATTATATTTCGTGACACATGAAAATTATGTGCAATTCAAATTTTAGTCTTACTAAAGTGTTATTGGAACACTGCCCTGCTCATCCATTATTGTTGATGGCTGCTTTCATGTTACAATGGCAGAGTTGACTGGTTGTGACAGAGACTTGAATGGGCCTCAAAGCCTAAAATATTTACTATCAGACCCTTTATAAAGTTTGCCTGCCCCTGTTCTAGGGCCTTGAACCTAATAAATGGTGTAGGACTCTTTTAAGCTGTCACTATGCCTTATACAGGTCTGTATTAAAAAATATTAGACAGTTTATTTTGATAAAATAAAGATCTTTCAGCCAGATTTAAAGAGTTCTGTATTTTTAAGTATCCTGAAGAGTGAGAGTTATGAATTAAAATCTCAACTTTACATTTTTGCTCTTCGATTTCAGTAATATTTGGAAAGTCTTTTACTATCAGTTTGAGATTTCCTCTTTTCAACTATATTAACCTCTTTTTATTAATCCCTCTTCAGAAATTATTACTTGGGCTAATAGCAGTTTGGAAGAACATCTAAATAGTTAATTCATAACTTCTTTTTCTCCTGGAACCTTGAACTATGTTGCGGTTATCCTCTCTACAGAGTTTCCCAGTACATGCTGTTATTAGGAGAAAATATCAATACCTTGTTATAGGTGTCCAGTATCATTTTGAGAGCCATCTTGTGATATATGCAGAAGCCAATTTTTGACTCTTAGCGTAAGTAAATCCATTGAACACTATGGTTTACTTTCTGAGGTAGTATAGTTCTTAATGAATTATATGGCACTTATTGATTCACATATTCGCTTTAAAGTCATAATTAACTACTAAATGGAGTGTCCCATATATCACTTAATATTTTTTCTTACTTGAATTTCTTAGGTACAATGTTAGCTGTTCTAAAAAATTTGCACTTAGTCGTTGGAATCGTAAGCCTGATAATCAAAGTCTTGGGCATCGTGGCCGTCGTCCAAGTGGCCCAGATGGGGCAGCAAGAGAACATATCCTTAGGCAGGTCTGTAGAAACCTTGCTTCAATGTACAATACCCTTTTCAGAAATGCAAGGGAAGTGCAATGCTGTATTTTACTTGTACTACATTTTCCAGCTTCCAATTACTTATCCATCTGCAGAAGAAGACTTGGCTTCTCATGAAGATTCTGTGCCATCTGCTATGACAACACGTCTGCGCAGGCAGAGTGAGCGGGAAAGAGAGCGCGAGCTCCGGGATGTGAGGATTAGGAAAATGCCTGAGAACAGTGACTTGCTACCAGTTGCACAAACAGAGCCCTCTATATGGACAGTTGATGACGTCTGGGCCTTCATCCATTCTTTGCCTGGTATGTAATTCAGCACTTTGGCCTTAAGATGTTTCTTGCGCCTTCACACACCGGAATGATGTTAGATCCATCCACACCTGTTGCACGAAAGGGCTAGAGAAGCGCTTATGTATTTGTATTAATTACATGGCATTTGCTATTGAAATGTGATCTGTTTCCTCTTGCTTATTCCCTCAGCACAACTGGGTGTTTTCTCATACCCCCCCAAGTCGATAAAAACTGACTAGTCCTGCTTCTGCTGTGACATCTCAGCCGGTGAAGATATTAAAGGTGCTCTCTTCTCTTCAGTCTGATTTCTCTCGAGAGGTCAGTAGAGAGATTGAGTCAGACACTTCTTCCCTTCCGCTCTTCTATTTTTTCTATTCTGTTTCCTCTTTATTTCCTAATTTAACTTTTTTTTTAAAGAAATGAGAGGCTATAATTTTTTTACATTTTTGAAAACTAATTTTCTAAGACCCTTTAGAATATGATAAAATTTTGTTTTCTTTTTAAAAAATCGAGCTGGTTCTTTTAAAGGAAGCTGAATTCTTTGATTCTTTGCAATAAGTAGACATCAAGAATACTTCTGAAATTTGATTTTTTTAAGTAGACAACTAACATTCAGTTATGATATTCCATTCCAAGATTGAGAGTAACTTTCTTATTTATGTTTTTCTGCTCTCTCATGTTGGTATTCTTTTCATCAGCTTAGTCTTTATTTCTTTATCTTTTTTCTTTAATGCAACAATAATCCTTTATATCAACTTTCCAAGGGGTTGGCTACTAAAGACAGCTTTTGCTCATGAGACCCACACTGGTTATATATGTTTAGACAATATATTTTTTGTCAGCAAACTTTATCATTCACTTTGGCCTTATGAATATGGAAAACAAGGAGATTTTAATATGTTTGTTCCATTTTGGTTTTATTGTGACTCATACCATTTCTCTTAACACAAGCTTTTCAGAAAAATACTTCCCCTTTGAACTTACTAAAATTAATCCAGCTATTTTTGCTAATTAACCTTTCTATGAAGGTGACCACTGTCTCAGAAGCAAACTTACAGCTATGTGAGTGAAGAAAGTATGTTCAAAAGTATTATTGCTTTTTAAAAAAATCTGTCAGCCTTTTACCTTAAATACAGAACTCTGAGATTTTATTAAATTATATTTTCAATAGATTGTTTTAGAAATGCTAAATAAGTTGTTTGGTTTTTAGAAAAACAAGATATGGTCACTTTTAAAGAAAGAAGAAATTAAGGAGGGTTACATTTTTCATGGGAAGATTTTTAAGCACACACCTAAGAAATCTAGGTGTGAGTTAAGTGCTGACTACATGGGTTTAGAATCTGCTTTAAAACTGATGTTAGAGGATGGTGAGTCTTTACTGTTTGTGACTTTAATATTGAATGAAATCAATTTTAGAGTTTAGAGCAGTCTAGGTATCTTCAGAATTAACTGTGGGTGGACTCTACATGATCCCCTAAGCTAGACTCTGATTCTGTCATCTTCAGAAGTAGTGTCAGTCTTCCAAACGGACACGTGAGCTGTTAGCCAGATTTCTCATTTGTGGGAAAATATTTCTTTTATTTTGGGAAGGAGGATTGGTTCATATATTGAGGAAAGTAGTGAGCCAAAATAATTTACAAGTAATAGGTAGTGCTGAGTCTTGTCACTTCATATCCTTTTCTTTAGGGCTAATTTTCTAATTTGCCCGAGCATCTACTTGTCATGAAGCAGCTCTTGGCTGCTTTTGTTATTGGGTCATCAGGAAAGTCATGACGTACTTTTCTGTATTTTTCAGTGCAAAAATGCGTCATGACTTGCCCGACAACCCAATAGAACAAAGACTAACTCCTTTGTCTTGTTCTTGCTTCTAGTTAAAAAAAAAACACCAAAATTATTGCTTATAACTTGAGATGGTTGTCTTATTGAGTCCATCAAGACAATTTTGTTATCAGTTGTTTAGAGAACATTACATGTCATTAAAAGGAGACAGCTATATAATTAAGAATTGCTTGGGACTGTTTAAGATTAGTCTGCCTAATAGAATTCTGCTTTTCTTTTACTGATTAAATGCTAGTATTTTCAAACTGCTTTGATAGGCTAAATAATAAGCTTATTTGTGTAATCATTATATCTTGTTCTCAAAGTTTGTCTCTGAATAAGGCCTGTAGCATAAGGAAAATCTCAGAATATGCCTTTATCTTCATTTCTCAATGCTTCTCTGGCCTTTGTAAACTTCCTTCTGAGTCTCTTTCAGCTCTTTCAGGGCTGGGGTCGTCGTCGTCCCCCCCCCCCTGTAGTCTACTGCCAAGTTTTTTCATAAAATGAGCAAGTTTGTAATCTCTTGTATGTTGTGTCTTTCTGGTTGAGGATAGGCTTCCCTCTTTTATCAGGACCTATATTTACTCTTAGAGTTTTCTCTTCTCTTTGTATAATGTCATCTTGTGAACCAACCATCCTGGTGGGACCATAATAGAGCTGGTATGTAGTACACCCAAATCTCAGAGCTGTTACTGGAGTAAAAAATTTTCTTCTAAACTTTTGTGCATTAAAAAGTTCTCTACACAAATGATTCTTTTTATTTTTAGTTAATTGCATTTATCTTTAATTCTTCTTGATACGGTGAACTGCCTTTTGTAAAGATCAGTTTATTCTGTATTTATTGATCTGTGAATCTGCAGTAGATCTGGTTTCTCTGAAGGCATATAAAGTAAAAATCATCTAAAAACATGGCTATTTGCTAGTTTTCACAATACTAATATTAGGACTTGATTATTCTGTAGTAGTGAGTGGCAGGTGATATCTTTCACTAACTAACTGAGGTCATTTTTTGTGGGGTGAGTTTGTTTTGGATTTAGCTGGAAAAGTACCTGGATGCTTGCAAAGTTCAGTTGTGACCCATGTCCATGTGCAGAGGTCTGTGCCCATCCAGATAACTGGTTCTGGGGATGTAAAGCCAGCTGGGCTGACTGGTTGCTGCAGTTGGGATATATTTTGTACATATCCCTAGGATGCCAGTTGTTTTACAGAAGGAGATGCTAATGTCAGAAACTTATAGAAATTTAACTCAGTGTACCATGAACATCTAGAATTTTTTTTTAATTCTTTTTTCTCTAATGATTTTCTGGATGCATATTTGCTTACTTTTTTTTTCTTTTTTAAGTTACTTTATTTTCTCATTTCTATACTAATGTATAGTATAACCACCCTTTTTTTGGCTGGTTTAAGAAAGTTGTGATCTAAAATTCTGAAGATAATGCATTCATTCATATTTGATCATGCTCTTTCCCAAAACACTTTTTGTTCTTTATTATTTTGCTAATACATTTATTATCCACCTACAAGAAGACATTTGAAGAGGGATCTCATAATGCAGGGGATAAAGAACATGCTGTATATATTTTCCTCGTGGAGAACTCCCAGTTTCTATTCCCAAATGTAGCTCTATGGTCCTCATTACTTCTCATTGCTCCTGTTTTCTGAATCTCAGTAAGTCCTACCCCATCTTTCTCTCTCTTCTTTTCTTTCCTGTGTTCTTATAAGTAAGACTGAAGAGAGAAGAACATTAGTTCTTTCACATAAAGAAGGATGAAGTCACACCTAGACGCAAGATTAGTCAGTTTTGTCTGCCCAGTTTTGAGAGCTACCTCTGGGAAAAGAAAAGGGGCTTTTCTATGGTGAGTAATCCCATTTTAACTAGTTTCTTTTATATGGTAAATGGACAAAACCATAAAAATTTTGCATAGGGTACTTTTGAAATGTCATTTTTTAAAAGTCTGAGAAATTATTAAAATAGAGAAATTGACAAGCTGGATGCTTGCTATATGTAAGAAACAGGAAAGATATAGCCAACAGAAAAGATGGCAAAAGAACTAACCAAGAGAAATGATGACCACCAGCTGAATACAGAAAAAGTGTTTGTATTATTACTCTTACAGATAGCTCCCAGGTAACAGATGCTACTTTTTGTTTATTGTTTGTTTATTCACTCATTCAGTCCTTTCCTTATCCAAAAAATATTTACATTTAGCACCTACAATGCTTGATGCTGTGGCTATAGGGATGACATCATTATTTTATATAAACAAGAGGATGATTGATACATTTGCAGTAGAAAGATAATCATTCCAGCAAAGTTGTGGTATCAAATGTATAATGTAACCATTTCCATTTTTTATTATGTTTTTCTTTGTGTTGTCCCTTAGAATGCTAATTTGAGTAAAGACTTTAAGCTGTTAGTATTCTTAAAATTCATTTTTATAATTTTACTAAGCAATTGTCTACATTTTTGTATTCTTTCCTCTCTTGGTTCCTTAATTCATTACTTTCCCTGCTGATTTCTTTATCCTTAGTGGGGAAGTTTATTAAGTAACCTGACTGTGCACAATTTGGTAGATAATAAAAACATTTGAGGTTCAAGTAGATGCTAGCATTGTTTTTGTTACCTGCTAAAGCACCTGGTAGACTGAGAGCTAAAGTATTGGTTATTTGGCAGGATTAGCCAGCAAGCTCATAATTTCAATGAGAATTTGTTTTCTTGTCAAAAGTGGAGATGAGTCCAGTGACATTAAGATTTGAAGTTGAAATTACAAATCGAGTAGTGTGATACAAACTTAATGGATTGGTTCTGTCCTGAGTAAATAAAAATGTTTTAGATATGCTTGGCAACTGAAGATTATAAATTAGAACAGGGTACAAATGATAATGAAAGTCGTACTCTGGTACATCAGAAAATATTTCTAAATGGTTATTTAAATGGTAGAACATTATATTTTATTCCTCTGTAACTATATGTAAAGCATATTTTATAGAAAGATAAGTTCAAGACATACGACAACTAGATAATCCAGACTTGTTACACGTGTAGCATGCTTTGAGGTGACACCATCATCCTTTTGGTGGCGGTATGTTTTATTTAGATTGATCAATCTGTACGTTTTACCTGACTCTGTACGTTTTACCTGACTCTTACTATTCCTATAATAATATTTTTAGAACAAGAATTCCAAGTAAATGACTTTACCTGGATTTCATATTAATTCTTATTTTCAGAATGCCAAGAAATACTGTCTTCTTCAGGAGTGAACCCAAGACTACCATAAATAAATTTAATTTGTTTCTCAGTCTGTATTTCAGATACTCAGACCCAGTGAGAGCATAATTGTGACTGTTAAAAGTAACATCTAATTGTGTATTAATTCTAACTTCCTCTGATCAAATTTCAGGCTGCCAGGATATCGCAGATGAGTTCAGAGCACAGGAGATTGATGGACAGGCACTTCTTTTGCTAAAAGAAGACCATCTTATGAGTGCAATGAATATCAAGCTAGGCCCAGCCCTAAAGATCTGTGCACGTATCAACTCTTTGAAGGAATCTTAACAGAATCATGAGGCTTTGAGATAACAGCAATTTTACTCTTCTTAAACAAACTATAAGGTATAGGAAGGCTCAGGTTGGCCTAGGATATTATCACATATGGTGGATAGCCAAGCACATTGGGATCTCTGCATCAGAAGTTGACATTTCTTCTACAGATATAATAATTCATCATACATTTTCATAATCAGCCAACATTGGTGAAATTAATTTTACAGGTGACATGCAACATTGAAAGACTTGTTATAGAGGGCCATGATATTTTTCAAAGAATCGTGTTATACTAGATAATTTTTTAAAAGGTAATGTTTATCATTAATATAAAGAATCCTTTTAAAAGTAATTTAATGATTTACATTTCTCCTCTTTTGATTCAGTTTTCTTATACATTTTTCTACCCTATAAATTTTTTATAGGTTGTCATGGGAGAGAGAATTTAGGAATAAGTTAGGAGCCCAGTGACAGGAATTGTTTGCAATGAGTTATCAGTACGCATTTAAAAAACATGTCTGTTAGAAAGTTGCTTTGTCTATAAAAAGGTTTGCATTCTAGCATGAATAATACTGATCTGGAAGTCAGAAGAGCTGGTTTCTCTTTCAGACTTGACCAAGAATTTGGTGTGGCTGAGAAAGCTTCACTTACTTCTTGTACATTTAGAGCAGTGTTTCTGTTTCATACCTAATCATGGCGGACAGGGATATTGCCAACTATCCTACACTGCACAGGGCAGCCCTCCACAGCAACGAGTTATCCAGTCCAAAATGTCAGTCGTGCCAAGGTGGAGAAACTGTGAGAGAGGAGTGACAGTGTTTTTCTTTCTCACCCAAAGGAATATTTTGAAAAGATGGGACATGATAAGGAATATATTATACAATGGAAGTATTTCAAATGGCATCAATGTTCTGCTGAAGTGTTTTTCCCTGGTTTATGCATATTAGAACAGGGGGCAAAATCAACTGGCCTATAAAATAAGGACTGGCATACAGATAATTTGACTCTCAGAGGTATTGATTCATGTTAATTATCTTTCATATCTCTGCTCCTCTGCACTGATGAAGGCATAATATCATTATACCCTGTGAACCAGTAGACAGCCTTTGCAGGCAAGGCAATAGTTTGTAGCAGATATGTGTTTGGTCTTTGGAGTTTTTCTAATGTTGAACATGCTGGGTCTAGCTAGAATACATATTCCTTTTTCCTTGACTAAACCCTTGCATGCTTCCTGCAAAGCACTTAGCAAGTGATATCTCTTGGATAATCAGATCTAATTTTGTATGTACATGATTTAGGGGAAACATTTTTAAAGCAAACCTTTCACTGAATAGTTACTGTTCTGTTAGAATTATGACACTACAATGAAATTGCTGTGGGAGCCCTGAGAGATTTATAGTCCTGGACATCAAAAATTTGTTTTAATCTTGATTGTATCTTTACCATACAATGGAAATGTTTTAATAACTGAAGGAACATACACAGACATTTGGCAGAAGTTCAGTAAGTGGGGAAAGAAAGGTCCATGGGTTTCAGTCATTGTCACTGCTCTTTTCAAAAAGATTGTGTTGAGCTAGTAGAAGACTAAAGATGTCCTTAAAGACATCACAGATATTTATCTTTTGGCTTTGTGTACATTAGAGAATGTTGATTATTTTTATACAAAAATACAGCGGGTAATTTTTTTAATCTTTAGATGCCTCTTGTTTGAATGTATGCTTTGTGAGATTCTTTTGTGTAGTAATGTTTTAAAAGATGTTTACTAATAGTTACGTGTAGGGTTAGAATGTGTAATATAGTATAAGGCTCATGTTCCAGACCTACAATAGCTTATAGTCTATGTTACATATTTCTATCATATTTTTAATTATTGGATTCAAGTTTCAAGGAAAGGTAGGTACTCTATAGTCAATTTTCATTTATTAGCAGTTCATTATTATGACAGAGTTGTCATATGTTTTGAGTTTTCCCCTTATCTTTCAATTTCAGAACACAAGAATAGGCTAAGTATTAGTAGATAGATGGTCCACAGTATTGGGGGTGGGAGGCACAAAGAAAAATCTCCCCTGGAATTAAAATTTTATCATAGATAATCCACAATTAATATAAAATTATTTGGGAATAGATTCCCCTTGCAATAATTACCTCCCATGACTATTACATATTATCTGTAGCCTTTAAGGTATTAACTTTGAACTGTGTTATAGGTTCTTCTTTTATTTACTTCCTCTTCTAATAGGTCATTATGTACTTACTAAAAGCCCCTGTGCCTAGCACTGTGTTAAGTATTCAAGAACGCTTACAAGAGGGGTTTCCATTTGAGAGCACCTTATAATATTAAATGTTATAATCATCTTAAGAATACTCTAGATCTTCTGTTCTCCCCACTTAAAACATACCAGAAAATATAATTGCTATTTTCAAGTGAGTTGTTTTATTTAGAAATGGCTCGTTTGCTTTCAACTGGTAGTTCTCACCGTTGATGCAGCTATTTCTTTCTAGATGATGAAACCATTTTAATCTCAAAGCTTCAGTTAATATATAATAGATCTAGACGATAACACTGGTGTCCACCTCTTTCCTGAGCTTTAAGCGATTTTAGTATAATATATATGGGGAGAGTGCTATTGTTTTCATTTTCATTCATATTACTAATTGTTTTTAGGATTTTGAGGAGAGGGAATGACAAGCAGAAAGAGGGTATGGGAAGTTCTTCCTACTTTTGTTACCTAAGTTTGCATTTTCTGACTTCTTTAAACTGATGTACTCTTTTCCCATCGAGGGGAAAAAAACCCTACCAGTTTGAAATTTTACTTGCTTTAAGCCATGTGTTCCTAGTAAGGAAACAAACAGAAAGCAGGTTAGTAAAAATTATTTTTTGCATGACATGGATTTTCGTCAAGCCTTGTGTAGGGATGTATGTGTCTGACACAGCTATGCAGCTCTGATATAATTAGTATAGTATGAGGCAGACTGCTGTCCCAAAACCTGTCACTTTTTAAGTGGTACTTAACTATTTCCACTATGGTACTTTTATTTTGCGGTGGCATCCTCTAAACAGACATTTTTTTTCTTTTAGTCCCAGTTTAAGGGCTGTCATCTAGAAGAAGTAGAGAAGGTGGAATGTGGGAGGAAAGAAATGTTAGTGAAGAAATTTGAGAATGGGAGAGAGGCAGACAAGAGAACTGCCACTTGTTTATCCCACTTCAACACTGAACAAATTGCTGCACTTTTGAAGTTAATATTCATGTTTTACCTAGTTTTAAATAGAAATTTTTCTTAAATAGCTCACCGTTTATTTTTGTTTCCTGGTGTATTGAAATCTTAGAACTGTATAAAGTTAAGTATTGTTGTTCCCATGCCTTTGAATATTTTTGACATAGCTAATCTTCATATATCCAGTGTGAAATTATAGTCAGACATTTATTCAAATACCAGTATTAGATTGAAATCTGTCATAGTGCCTCATATCACTGACTTGTTCAATTAAATGTTATAAAGTCCCATTATTTGCATTCGCAGGGTTTTGGTATCACCATGGCACAAGTATGGTAGGGAGGCAATATATAGATTGTATCGTCTTAGATTGTATTTACATGTGTATAAACAACTTTGGAAAGACTAAACTGTTACAAATGTATGTGAATGATGCTATACTGAGAGCCATATCGAGTGGATAAAATCCTGACTGGACACACTGTTCAAACGTTTTAAAGATCTATTTTCAATCAGAATAGCCTGGTGATATTTTGTGGTTTGAAGATCCTCACCTTTGGTGCATGGCAGGAACACACACTGTATATATGCTACTGGCGTTGAGAATTACCTGATAGCATGAAATGGCGTTCTTCACCCCTGACTTCCCAGAAAGCCTCCTCTAGCCCCAAGAAAACTCATTGTGAAGACTTTCTTCTTCAAGAGATCTTTGCCTGAAAATTCATAGAGAGGATTTTGTAGTGGGGTTCATTTTAGGGAGGTAGCTGGGATAGGGCTTTCTAATATGTAACCGTCATGTACTGGCCCATCTACACACAATGTTTGCTTAGCCACTATCCTGGGTACCATATATGTAACTAGCTGGGCCTTGAGGAAGGTTTTCAAGAGGGGGATGGGGGAGGGGATGGGAAACTGGAGGAGGAAACAAACAGGAGGAAAAGCATTCCAGACGCAATAGGATAGATAGTACAGTTAACTGAGTGAGGTCATGCAGTATAGATATGGCCTTTAGTAGTTCAAAATAATTGTAGTGTTTGCATCCCATTATAGCAATAACAGGTTATAGTTTTTATTATGTCAAGATTTGTCTGTAGTCAAACTCATTCTTTCACTCTCTTTATTGAGTAATCCTGTCTTTAGGAGCATATTTTAATAGTTCCAGTGATGCATAAGTTAGTGATTTTTGACTTCTGAAAAAGGTGACAACTATTAGAGAATATTTGTCAAAAACTCAAAAGTTAATCGTAATTGGGTTATCAGAATTATAGAGTATCCACTTTCATATACCAGTTGAATCAACCTTGTAGATTTTTATAAAGAAAAGCATTTTTTTAAGATTGTATTTTATTTGCTGGGTTGTGTCTCAGTCTAAGAATTGGATGACTAAGCTATAGCTTTCTGTTTATTCGTGTGGATTTCAGTAAACACAAGCCTACCTCTATTTCTTTGATGCACAGTAATGTGGATCAAGAAATAAACTGTTTAATCCACATTCATAAACATTGTTATTTATCTATTTAGAGCATCTAATTTCATCTTAAAGACTGTGATTCAATTTAGATAAGCACAAATACAGTATTGGGAAAAGTAAATATGCAATCACTAAAATTTAATTTCAACCTATTAAAAACTGTACATCTTTCAAAGAATTTTTTGGGAAGATATTCCTCTTGTTAGAAGTTCAGAAAATGTATCACTATATAATTTCCTTCAGTGCAGCAATATAAGCCATTTCTTTAATAAAACTTGTTAAAAATTATATTATTTTCTTAGGGAAAAGTTTCCTAAATTTTAAAGAATTTGAAAGTTTTACATGTTATTTTTAGAACTTATTATTTAATCTATTTTAAAATAGTATGAGAAATTTTTTTTTGAAAGTCGTAAAGTACCGATACAGATACAATTATTACTACCATATTCCAGAGCAAAACATTTGGCTTTTCCTGAACTTTCACTTTCGTACACATACATTACAAGGGAGTGAACTCCCTCCTCTTCAGATTTGAAGCCCGCTTCTCTAATGAAAAGTCTCCCATTCTACTCTAACACATGAACACATACCTTTTAAGTGCCATGTTTATGGAACCTTTGGAAAATGTTTTCACAAATGTTTAATTTCTTCCCTTTTTATAAAGCTCATTTAAACATTTTATTTAAAGATGACAGTTTTAATCTCAGATGTTAGAGAAGAGGTACACTAGAAAAATATTTTTTTCTACTGCCTTTGAAAAGTATAATTGCGTTCAGTGATACTGGTGGCTTAAATATGAATCCATAGAAAGAAAACCTGTGTAAAGGTTGTAAAATGTATTGTTTAAAAGAGGTATAGTAATGAATGAATTTTAATTTGGGGAAAAAAATAGTATACATTTAAAACTGTTATGCTAACATGGCATAGTTTTAAATTTAAGAGTAATATAGGAAGTCCTTTTGACCGCCTATTTAAATTGACTCCAGTAATCTTCTTAAGGATTGATAGTAGCCATCATTATTGGCTTAAAAGTTATACTTTAGGGAATATAATCAGTGTTAAAATCCATGTTCTTCTTGGAGCTTTAATTGATGGAGGTAAAGAAGTTGGTGTTTATGAGGGTGGTGGTGAAAGAAACATCAACCTGTTTTATAAACAAGGCACTTTTCCATCTTGCCTCAAGCAAATCAGACATATTCATTGCTTAAAATCTTAGTTTAGAATGCTGTGTTAAGTCATAATTCTTTTTGTTTTAGGTAGTACTAAATAATCTACTTCAATAGTAAATAATAGATGAACATAATCATTAATGTGACGAATGACTGGGGTTTTACATCCAGTTGGTGAATTAGCTGTGTGATACCCTAGGCAGTTACTTAATTTTTAACCTGTTTCCTCTTCTGAATATACAATATGGAGCCTATACTACTCAAAATGTTGATTTTGGTTTAAATCATCTCTAAAGTACCTCCCAGATCTACAACTATGATTCTAGGCCACATAATGGGGTGTTTTGAAGTTGTTCCTACTTAATTCTCGTTTTCTTTTTAATGGTTAATTTCATACTGAAGAGCCTTTGCTAAAAGATATTAAGCATCATTTCCTGGGTCACTTACAGTCTTTGTTCTCCTAAAGAATAAGGTAGACAATTCATAGACAAGCAAATGAGGACATTTTTCTAAATGCTTCTTGCTAGTTAACCACCAGATATATGAATACATATGAACATTATTATGCATTTATCCATTCATTTATCAAACTATTTGAACACTTATTATGTGCATTGTGTGATGTACATGACTTATGGAACTAGTAATAAGTAAACGAAATCTTCCCAAAATTTTGATTGTAGTTTAAACAAACATGGACATAATTATTAATATACTGAATGTAAAGTTGGAACTGAAAGGAAATGTTTTATGCATTGGGGGGAGGATTAGGCTAGATGACATGTAAGGGGTCTGAGTGAATCACGTCAATTCATATAACATTTTACACGCTAAACATCAATCTACCATATACCTGATTAGGTTACAAAATTCAGGGTACCTAACATTAAGGATTTACATTTTGAGACTGTTGTGACAGCCCATATTTCTAAGAATTATTATGACACTTGAATCTATTCAAGAGGTGTTGCTACGCAGGGTGTATGACAAAGAACAATACAAAGAAGTGAAGCAGGTGCCTACTTACATTTTCAACTACAAAAGCTTTACACCCAGTATTGACAGTAAAGTAATTTTTTTTAAATGAAAAACTTCAAAGGATGTCGCTGAACAGGTTTGTTTTTTATTTTGTTTTGTTTTTTTGTTTGTTTTTAAAGCAAGAAAGAGTACATAAATTTTACTGTTGTTACACATTACATGTACCTACTTTTTAGAAAGCATACATATGTTACATAGTATAAGAGTTTCCTTTAAAATGCAGGACTGCTAAACACAAAACAGTTCCATGTTTAAACTGATAAGTATTTGAGGAGTAAACATTGAATGGATTGATTATTAATTGGGTAGAGATTCCTTACCACTTGAGGATTCTGTGAATTACACTGTAATTCCTACTGATACAGCAGCTTTACATACTAACATCGCTCGATACTAACATTCTCCATAAAGATAAAAAATGAAAATATCTAATATTAAAAAGACCTTTTATGCATTACAGTTACAGCTTTGTAAAGCAGGAAAATGTCCAAATACAGGTTAGATTAGAATCTAGAACACACTGATTGAAAATAGGAACACTGACATTAACCTCTTATGATGGTCTTGGTTTAAAATTTTTTTCCATGGCCCTGGTTAAAATTTACTTTTAAAATGTTTTAATTTACCCACTTTTTCAAACATTTTATGTTGTTAAAGTATATGTTTCATAAACACTTTTTATATGTGTATTCTTAAAATTTTAAAAGTCAGTAGGGTGTGCAAAGATGGTATAATGTTGGATGTCTAACTTCCAAGACACTTAACTAGATTCCCAATCACCTGATTCAAAAAGTTGGTCGTTTTGGTTTTTTTCATAGGGAAAAAAAAAAGTCAAAGTAGGTTCCAAAAACTGTCCTCAGAGTAAGGAGTGCACTGGTGGAGGCGGAGTTGTAGGCAGCACAGCACCCTGAAGGATGGGTCCCCACCCTGGGGGCAGGCATTTCAGGCCTATTGGCCGAATTAGTGCTGTTTGTCTGCTTGCTTGTTAAAAAATTTGTTGTTGATTTAACAAAAGCAAATTGTTGTGATTTTTTTTTTTAATATTAAGTTTTGATGCTTCAAGCACATGTTACCTGATTTTTTTAATTCCTCTTTTTGGTTCCTCCCATTGTTCCAAAGTAGGACTTTCGTAGTTTTAAAACCTCAAAAGCTGATCCACCCAGGATGAACAAAGCATCACCAAGAGGAAAAAACATTTTTTATCTTTACAAAAAACAAATGTTAAGATTATATATAGATGTATTCTCTTTGCATTGGATATTGTATTAGAGTCCTCCTTACAGGAAATTAAATAGTTTTAGCACTCTTAGCATTAGTAGCATTCCTAGATTGGTGTCTGTAGCTACAGTTTTAAAATGTATAACCTGAAAATGAAGTTAATTTTGCATTATTAAGAGCACACCATGATGTATGTAAAAAGATTGTCCATTTGGTGTATTTTTTTAAAAAAGAGAAGGCACTTTCATATTAACAAGTAGCATGTATATGAATTTTAGATTTTCATATTTGTTGTGTCTGTATTCAGTGAAGTAAAATTAAGCATTCAAATGTTTGTTGATGGCAACATTAACTGTTAAATTAAAGCACCTTATACTCTGCTGCTTAAACTTGCTTGTAATTGCACCTTTGTTACCTGCGTATTTTCACATAGAATATTGTTGTAACATTGCTTCATGTGGGTCTGGATGGAAAGTTAGTGGGCCTACAGGATCATTTATTTATATTGTTTGTTTATAATTCAATAATATATTGTAGACCAGCTGTTAAGTTCATTTCTTTACAAATAAAAGCCTCTTCCATTTGGCTGGTCTATTGAATAATTTCTCTTTTTTTCTTTAAGCTTATGAGGCATGGGGAGGGAATACTCTAAGTTAACAAACAAAACACTTAACAAGGGGCTTGAAATAGTTATAAAATTTTCCTGATTTAAAATCTGCAGAGTATAAATCTTTACTAATTAAGTACAATATATTTTTTCTTTTTCTTTAACAGTTAACATTTTTATGGAAAATAACAAGTTTTCCAAAACAAATGTAGTGAGAAGAGTGACATTGTTTTACAGTTTTTGCAAATCTCTTTAATGTCTGACTTAATAAAAACAGGCAGATTCTCATGCCTGCTTGTATATTCAATGTTACTATGTTACTATCTCACATCCATCATGCAGCCGCTGGAAAACTTCCCTGTACACTTGGAAGAGAATGAGAGTGGAAATGTTGCAAATAACATATTGTTATGAAAATAGTTCTAATCTCCATGGCCCCTGAAAGTGTCTCAGGCCACCCCCAACCCCCAGGTCCTCAGACTACACTTTGAGAACTGTTCTTCAGAAAAGTGAGATGGTGTTGGTTGAAATTTTGAACTTCTAAAACACACTTACTCAGATACCCCTCCACCCTGTCAAAAGAAAAAAACTTAAAAACCACTTAAGGTGGATTTGTGGATGTAACAGCATTTTAACAATTTTTAAAAGCAGAAGTTTATGCTGGGAGAAGATGATTGGGAAGTGTCATGTTCTTTAGACCCACGACTGGATTGTTGGGGTTTTTGGCACAAATAGAGGAAGGGAGCTTTCTGTGATTATGTGTGGACAGTGGCATTCACCTCCTCCTATCTTATATTGCGCCTGGTTTCCTTCTTTTTGTTTACCCCTTTGATCCAAGGGAGAAAATAAAAGTTTTTATTGGCCTCCATCTTGGGTAAAAAGAGGAAGAAGGACAATATGCTAAAAATAGGCTTTTTTAACGTACTTAGGTGACCCTCAATTGTGTAAGTACAATATATTTTTAAATTATCTTAGTCCCATGTTATGGCCAATTAGAAAGCAATACATTCAGCAGAAAAGTAACAGAAGTAGAGACAGCCAGGTTTAGACACTGACAGATTAGACAATGTCTATATCGTAATTCACAAACTGCCTTCAGATTTTTCTGCCATTCAGGTTGCTCTTCTCCAGTAGCTCTCAGCCGGGGGCAGCTCTGCCTACCAGGGGAGGTTTGGGAATGTCAGGAGACATTTTGGTTGTCCTGACTGGGGAAGGAGGCTTCTGGCATCTAATGGGTAGAGGGCAGGGATTCTGCTAAACATCCCACAATGCACAAGGCAGCCTCCCCAAACCAAGAATTATCCAACCCAAAATGTCAACACTGCTGAGGGTAAGAACCCTACTTCACTTTTACGGTGTGATACATTGCCAATGTAATTGTGATTTGACATGCAAGTGACATGCAGGTTATAACTGAAAATGAACCTGGTATGTCATGGAAAGACACCCAGTCACTACTCCCAATTCTGTAAGGTAAGTCCCCAAAACTTTGCTTCCAGGAATATCTGCATTAAGAACAGAGATATATATTTTAAAATTAGCTAAATTTAAATTGAGCTAATCTTCCCTTATGTTAAAGAATATTCATCCCATATCACTTCAAGAAAATTATTTTCTTGCTCTGAATTTAACAAAAATGTTTATTTAAGTTTGTATATTAACATTGGCAGTGAATCTCAGATTTACATGACAGTTTGCATCCAGTAGTTTTTTGGGTAACACGAACACCAGTATATTCAAATGTTAACTCTTCACCTTTGTGTTAAATTAATATTTGTAATAGGCAGTTTTCCTGAAGAGGTATAAAAATTTTTCTTGGAATTATTTTGTTAAAAAAATAATATCAGAGCCCCAAAAAGACATATTCCTAAAAGGTGTGCAAGTTCGCTCTTTAAGTGTTCTGAGTCACCATTCTTTCCCGTTAATAAAATTATGACTCTTATTGTAGTTTTAAGTTTTAATTAGTTTTAACATGGCAACACATTAACAAATCATTATTGATATAGGCTTTTCAATATGCTCAAGATTATGAATTGCAAGTGGAATGAAGCAGCATTTCCAGTTGACAAATGGATCCACAAGTAATGAGATGTCTCTTAAATTAAGCTTGTGACAATTAAACCAGTAAACTGTAGCAATGAGAAAACTATTGACAAAGTACAACCATGGAATGTTCATCTCAATATATGCTGGAATCTGTACTTTAAGTAAAAGGATAATTACTTGAAGTAGTACAAATGGTAACCAGGTACCAAGAAAACAGATAATGAGCTTGGGCAAGAGTGTTTTTTTAGAACTCACAGTACAACCAGAGTGGGATGAAAAGGGAAAATACAGGATAGTCTCATTCATATAGGAAGTTATCCTAATAGCCTTTACCAAAGTAATAAGTTCAGACCAAGAGGTTATAAAAGCCATAAATAAAATCGTCACCATGGAAAAGGACAGCCAGTAACTTTGAATGCTGATGTAGAAAGGACATTGATAAGAATAAACACTGTGTGCTTTCTGGTTTTGGTAGATGGATGGATCTCCCAAAACATAAGCAAAGACTGAAATCCAAATTAAAATCACTGTAAAGAAATAAAATAATTTTTGACACTTAAATGGAAGCTTGGTGGTTTTAGAGAAATTCAGGTAATAATCTATACAAGCTATCAGGAAAACTGGATAATGCAAAAAGCCATAAGTAAAAGAAATAATTTGAGTAAACAGGCAGATGTGGTATTTAGTAAACCTAGTGCCTAAAAGTACAAAATCCCTGAAATAGGATATAATGGAAATGTTTACCAAAAGTAAAAGATCAATGAATGCGAGTGAAATGCAAAAATATTCCATAAAATTTTGATAGGTGTTTTTTCTTCTCATTCCTAGTGTGAGGATATTTAATAATATTTTTCCAAGTATAATCAAGAATAGCAGACAGTTACCATCTCGAGGCTGATTTGTTTGATGTAACTGGTACTGAAAAGAGCAGTTCTCTGAAGGAAGAGCAGTCATATTTATAGTGAAATTTCAGAAGGCCTGCTGTGAAATACATGTGATAAAACCGCTTTGCTTTATTTTCCAATGCTGCAAAGAAAAGCAAAAAGAAAAACCTGATGTTATTTTGATGGTATCTCTATTTTATGGTATCTCTATTTTAAAACTTTACAAAGCAAGCAGTCCTCAAAAATCTAATCCAATCATTTCCCCCAAATAAATATAGAAACAGGGAGTTTATATTTCTCAATTTCTCATACTTACGGAATACAGAATATGATGAGGAAGAATTAATGTGTATACTTTGATCAGGTTTTGAAACCCAGAACATCCAGAACTCTTAGATCCACAACCAAAATGTTATATATAAATAATTACTAAAAGTTCTAATAAGTACAGCTTTTAATGACTTGTAAAAAGATAAAATACTTTCACCGGCTGGAGGGAAAAGACAGGCTTCAAATAGCCTGATAGAACCACCACAGACAGCTGTTAACCCAGCCACACTCTTGACTCCAGACAATGTTATCTCACCCCTCCTCTTTGTCCTTTTGTCAGTGAATTTTAGAGGTAATGCTTATGGGGCCCTTTACTATAGCAATTTTCAAAACTTTTTAGTTGCAGCGTAATAATTCAGATTAAATTTCTGAAGCTCAAAAATATAACAGTTCACCTGAAAATAATGGGGACATTGGTAAAGGAAAAAAAAAGATCAAGGTCCACGTTCTGGACCCGATCTTTCAGGTGTGGCAACCTGGAGAGACGAGAAAATACAGGGAAGGAATAGGGACTGAGTCTGGATACCTGAGAACATTAAGAAGTGCTAGCTAGGTAAAGGCAGAGGAACAGGAGTTGAAGCCTGAGTGGTAAATGAATTTGAAGGCAGGAAAAAGAGGAGAAGATGAAAGAGAAAGGTCAGAGAGGAAGAAATCAGGAAAGGATGGAAAGATGGAAATTTGAAAAATCCTAAAAAAACCAAAAAAAATCATAGTTGACCCAAAGTTGTTTCTGTAAGACTGTTCAACTAGTCTTTATAAATAGCAAAATAAAACTCAAACAACAACAACAAACTCATCCATAAATGTCAACAGCTGGAAATGGGTTAAAAATGCTACATGGTATATACATCCTTAACGATGTACTATCCTGCCATTAAAAGTGTTTCTTGAGTTAGGAAGATTTAGTGTTCACCTTTTCTATACTTGTTAAATGTTAAGCCTTGGGAATTTGTTGCATGTTTAAAAAATATATTTCCACAGTATGTTTAGTTAAGTGAATTATAGGTTACAAAATTAGGCAGCAACATGTACGTAATCTAATTTTTAAGACATTATACATGTATAGAAAAAAACTAAGAAGGTATATACTGACTTATTAATGTGGTAGTATTATACTCCTAGGTCTTTCTGAATTTCCCAAACTTTAAGGAAAAAAAATAAGGGAGTATTATGTCTGAAAAGTGAAAAAACTGAATTTTCCTAAAAGCAAATAACTGATGATTAAATAATGTCAAGGGAGTAATGAGGCTATTGTTTCAGGGTGAAAAAAGAAATCAGTGTGGAAGGAGGCTATCAGTTCTGCTGACAGACTAAACTCTAACTTGACAAAGAGTCTCTCCTGGTTAAGAGTAGAACTTCCATATTTGTCTTTTCATTGTCCAATTTCAGCAAGAATCTGTCCTCCTCAGTATCTGATCTCCCTTGATGTCTGATCAGATTCCTCATCCCCTAACAAGCCCCAGGGGATGTCCCATCACCCTGGCCTGCCTTCCGCAAGAACCCTGTTAGGGTTTGGCCACCTTCTTACCCGTGATGCTTTCTTTAGTAATATTCCATCCACTGACCCCCACCTTGCTCCTTGCCTGTAAATTCCCACATGTTGTGCTTGGAATCGAGCCCAATCTCTTCCCATCACTGCAGAACCGCATTGCCATAGTCCCTACACCTGTTGTAATGGTCCTGAACAAAGTCTCCCTTACTGCTCTTCAACAAGGGTCATGAATATTTTTCTTTAACATACTCTCATGGCCATAAGTCTACCATGTGATAAGCTCCCTTATTAAATTTACACAAATAATGTATCTATTTACACACACACGTATGTGTATACTCATGTAAAGACAGTTATATAAGAAATCATTCAGGGCCGGCCGAGTGGCGCGATGGTTAAGAACTGGCTTGGGATGCCAGAGGGCCCCGGTTCGGATCCCACATATGAGGGCCAGTGACACTGCCCTCTACAGCTAAGATGCTGAACAACAGCTCAACCTGGAGCTGGGCTGCCGTGAGTCGCTGGCGACGGCCTAGGCTGCAGTCCCTGTGGCAGTGGGTTGCCATGGGCTACCATATGTAGCCAGCAGCCAGCGTGAGCGGCCAGCAGCCAGCGTGAGCGGCCAGCAGCTGCAGTGAGTGGCCGTCCAGAAGCCGGCGACTGATCTGCCTCGCCAGGGAAGAGCGCAATGATGGTGCCAACTTGGGCCAGTGAAGCAGCGTCCTCCACAACTAGACTGAAGAACAAAACGACAGCAACTTGTCTGTTCCCCTTCCCCCAATTCCCCATCACTGTTCCCATCCCCCCAATTCCCCAATAAAAATCTTAAAAAAAAAAAGAAAGAAATCATTCAATACCTATATTCATAACTATAGGTAAAAAACCAGTGAGACAAGTTCTCTTGTATGCTCAAATTAGTTTAACCTGACCTTCTCCTGAAAAAGTTCCATTCCAGATTTGATATATGACATACACAGGCATGGATGGACTCATGATCACCACCTTGACAAATCACTGGCCTTATGAGTGGTGTGCTTGGATAAGGAAGTATAGATGGCGTAATAAGACCACATGAAGCCCTCCTGAGCGAAGAAAAAAGACAGGCTTAGTTTTAAATAGCTAATGTTGGTGTAGAATGGGGTTGAGGGAAGGAAACAGTGTGGGTTCATATTTATGAAGACCCACTTGAAAAAAAAAAGTAACTTTTGGATAAAAAAAGAATTATTTGTATAAAATCATTTTATCCTTAATAACTCCTATCTAAAATTAAATAAGCAAAGCTAAGGAATCCATGCTTAAGTAGGCAACATCCAAGGGCTGTTCCCCAAGTTTCCGTTTCCTCACTGACTCTGAGTGACGCCAAGGGGAAGGCCAGAAAAGCAGGCTAGTCCCTGGCGGAGAGCAGTCCGGCCGAGCGTCTCCCAGGGGCTAAGAAAGGTCAGCAAGGGTGCAGGAGGGGAGGACGGCCAGCTACAGCCAACAAGCCAAACAAGAAAAGGACTGGAAGAAAGAAGACAAGTCTGATGGAATAGGTATGAGAATCATAAAGCTGAAAGAAGCTTTAGAGATGAGGGCGGGGAAGGCCCAGGAAAGATACGAGACTGAAGGCAGTAAAAAACAATCAAAAGGAAGTATATTGGAAAATGAGGTTTAGGTCATTTTGTAATGGTTCCTGAATATCATAATCATGGAAATCAATCACAACTTCCTTAAATGATACCAATTTTATACCCCACTTCTATAAATCACTAAAAATATTCAAAATGCCAACATTTTGTTCTTTAATCTCCCAGGACAAGACAGAAATCTGTTAATAGGCTACCTGTCCTGAATTTTCCCTTGAAAAATGTTCACATTAACTCTAGGGATTCAGAGATTTATAAGATACAGTTTTTTTCCTGAATCGTTTTTAAAACTACTTATGAATCAACTCCTATTGCTTCATATACGACTTAAAAGCTTATTGTGGAAGTCCTTTCCAAGGCATCTTTGGGCTTGTTTTGTGATCTGACCAATTTAGAAGTATTAGCAGGGCCTGAAGGAAACAAACCATGATTTCTTTTCACTGACCCAACCTCTGCTTTTCTATTTACAACCCAATTAATTCTTTAAACAAAACAAAGCAAAACATACTTACTGTGCTTTTTTCTCTCGTAGGCCTTTCTCGGCTGATGACCTTCCTACTTTATTTCAGTTTCACTGCCTTCAATCATCTTACTATTGGTTTCTGGCATACCAAAATGCCAGATGGAGAAGGTCTACGTGAAAGATAGAAAACAAAAATAACCATCATTAATAGCTATCTTAGTAATTGGATTTCAGTATAACTGGCTCCAGATCTCTACTTATAGAAGCTGTCACTCTCTATGGGATTAGAGCCCATAACTGTTTATAATCTTTCTAGCAAAAGGGAGGGGGGGTACTCAGACTGAAGGCCCACCAAACACACTGAGATACGGGTGCATAGAACATGGCATTGCTTTCAAGAAATCTTGCTTATATTGCATTTCTCACCCACAGGTTTTTGGAGTCTAAAATAGAAGTTTTCAGTCTTTTTGGCTATAGGACCCTTTGACACTTGTTACATGTTAACATAAATAACTTGTTTAATGAAAAATCAAAGTGGCACTGTTTCCCATTTCACCAAATTGCTTTAGTATCTGTCTGGCTCAACAGCAGACAGCTGAATTCTCATCTATATTTAATCAGTTGTGATATCACACTCCACGTAGCTTTTGGAAAGTCCTCTATACTCACGAGTTTGAGAGTGAAAAAATATCTTTTCTAAGTAGGTAACAGACTTCATTAAAAACTTCACAGTGGTATTATAATCAATAGTTGTGTTATGCCATCCCAGAAAAGTTGAACCAAACCACGTGCAGGGAACACACTAGGAAGCTGAGCACAGCTAACATTCTGGTCTGTTGTACGGAAAGGGAAGGAACGCTGCCCCCGGACTTGCTGACCCTGATGGCTGGAGAGCCTGGGAGAGAGAACCAGTGAGCCTGGGCCAGGGGTTTCCCATACCTTTCCTCTAATCCTTACAGTAATCTAAGAGGTATGTCTTCTTTTCCCAGGAGGAAACAGGCTTGGGGGCTAATGAGCATGTTCCCTGAGGCTGCAGTCCCAGGTCTGATTTCAAAGCTCATGTTGTCCAGTAAGCCTCTGATGGCCCCTCACAACTGGAAATGTAGAAAGGGACCTGATTTATGTATGTGAAAGAGCTTTCCAAAAAGGTAACACGCAAATGACAGTGACTGTTGATTACTGGTACCCAAAGGACCATAACTAACTGATCTACTTGGATAATGTAATTTTATTCCTCCAAAAGATAAATATAATTTTTTTTTCAAAATGTGGTCTTTGCTTGATATGTCAAAATTCAGTGAAAAAATAAAATGTCATTCAACTGTCTGACAACTTTTGAACACGTTTTGTTTTCCTTTATATAGTATAATTAAATTCAATATAGAAAGTTAAGAAAATATAGAAAAAAGTTAACTTATTTTTAAAAATAGGTAATTTACATAGTACAAAACTCAAGTTACAGAAGTGTATACAATGAAAATTACTCATCCTATCTGCTCTTTCAATACCCCTTACCCCCATTCATCACTATCCAGTCCAGCTTCTCGCCCGAGATGAAACCACTGTTACCATTTACTTGTGTCTCTTTCAGAGCTATTCTAAAACAAAGTTTTAAAAAGAATTTGAAATTTTCATTGCTAAAGGAACTGGCAAGGGTTCTTGATTTGCCCTTCCCGAGGTCTCATTTATATAGTGATAAAATGCAGTATGAGCTATAAAGGTAGAACACAATACAATGTGAGTCAGTGATCTGTCAGACCACAGGAGTAATTTCCACCAACCCAAATGAGGTTGGCCAGGAGGAAGGTCAGTGGGGCCAGGCAGGAAGACAGGAAGTAGGGATTATCTCAAAGGAGGAGGGCAGGTAACTATTCCCCCCACCTCCAGGGGCACAGAATTACAGTGCTCACCCATACCTGCTGCTTTTCTGCTTCTAAGCCCATAGGAAGATTTCATCTCCTTGATCCTTACAATTAGGTGAGCCCATATGGCTATTTCTGGTCAATGGGCTATAAGGCCAAAGCATATAATTGCAGAAGAGAGCCCTTCAGTGTTCTCTTCCTGACACGGAATAAAGAGGCCATGTGCTCCAGATGGGGACCGCTCCAGATGGTAGAGCCTCTGTCAATCTGGGTCCTTGAGTGACTGTGTGGAGCAAAGCCCCTGACGACTCACAATGGATATACAGTGTGAACAAGAAATGTTTGTTACATTAAGCTGCAAGAATTTTCTGATTATTTGTTATCGCTTATCCTAATACAATTTCTTATAATTCTCTGTACCCTCTGCAAATTTTAACAGCATGTATTACTGAATTTTATACATAAATTTCCTAAAAAATTACTTATAATCACAATAAAAAAGCTACAGTAGAAAAAAAACTGAAAAGCAACAATGCAAGTATAGGAAAATGGTAAAATCAAAATTCAACTATAATTTCCAATACATTACTTTTGCATTGTTTTGTTCTGATTTTCTTATATTTGCCTACTATGAATAACTTTATTCCGCCAAATGAGACAAATGTGATGAAACAGACAAATTTCTGGAAAGACACTATCAAAGCTCACTTCAGAAGGTCCCTAAAGGGCCAGCTGAGTGGAGCATTGGTTAAGAGTTGGCTTGGGACGCCAGCTCTGAGCAGCAGGGCCCCAGTTCAGATACCACATGAGGGCCAGTGACGCTGCACCCTCTACAGCTAAGATGGTGAACAACAGCTCAACCTGGAGCTGGGCTGTCGTGAGTTGCTGACGACAGTGAAGCTGGCCAGCAGCTGGAGTGAGCTTTCCTGAGCTGCCGTCAGCAGCTGTCCAATGGCCGGCGAGCGACTGCCTCACCCGGGAAGAGCGCGATGATAATACCAACATGGGCCAGTGAAGCAATGTCCTCCACAACTAGACTGAAGAACAAAAGGACAGCAACTTGTCTGTTCCCCTTCCCCAATTCCCCAGCGCTGTTCCCATCCCCCAGTTCCCCAATAAAATCTTAAAAAAAAAAAAGGGGTCACTAAAAAATCCCTATTAAAGGAACTGATTTTGAACTTTAAAACCTTCCCACAAAGAAAACTCTAGGCTCAGATGTCTGAATTGATGAATTCTACCAAACATTTAAGGAAGAAATACCAAACTTAAAGAGAACAGAAACGCCTCCCAACTCATCTTACAAGAGCAGAATTACCCTGACACCAAAAGCAAAGACATCTCAAGAAAACTAAATTGTACATCAACATCCCTCAAGAACATCTAGGCAAAATCCTTAACAAAATACCATCAAATTAAATCCATCAACCTATAAAAAGAATAATATATCCTACTACATCACAGCCAATGCAAGCTTGGTTTAACATTAGAAAATCAATGTAATTCACCATGTAAACAGAATAAAGGAGAAAAACTATATGATATCTGAATAGACATAGAAAAGCACTTAATAAAATCCAACATGATAAAAACTTTCACAAACAATGGAAGGGAACTTCCCAACCAGATAAAAAGCATGTATGAAAAACCCACATGTAGCCTCATGCTTGGTGATGAAGCGAGGTCATTTCCCCCCCCCAGAGCAGGAACATCTGCTCCTGCTCGACATCTTACTGGCGGTCCAGTGTAAGACGGCCAAGAAGTAAAAAGCATGTAGACTGAACAAAAAAAGAAGTAAAACTCTAATCATGGGTGATATGACTATGTACTTAGAAAAATCTAAGGAATTTACAATAAAAGCTACGGTAACAAGTGAATTTACCAAAGTTGCAGGTTAATTTAAAAAGATCATATTTCTATATACTAATGATAAACAGTTGGGAAATAAACATTTACAATAGCATAAAAATATGAAACATGGATAAGTCTGACAACGCGCATGTAAGTGCAATATTCTGGAATTTTAAAACATTGTAGAAAGAAGATCTAAATCAAGATAAATATCGTGTATTGGAGGTTTCAGCAGGTTTGGGGTTTTTTGCAGAAATTGGCAAGCTAATTCTACAATTTATATGGAAATGTAAAGGACATGGCAGAGCCAAATAATTTTTAAGAACCACAAAGTTGGAGGACTTACAATACCTGACGTTAAGACTTGCTATAAAGGTATAGAAATAAAGAGGGTGGTATTAACATAAGGATATTCCCCAAAATTAATGGAACAGAAGACACTCCAGTAAGTAGACCCACACATTTAGGCCAATTGGTTTTCAACAAAAGTGCAAGGTAATTAATTCAGTGGGGAAAAGAACAGTCTTTTCTAAAAATGGTGCTGGAAAGTGAATATCCAAATGGGAAGAAATTAACCTTAACCCTTACCTCGTACCGTACACCAAAATAAACTCAGAATGGGTCAGAAGACCAAAAGTCGAAGTGAAACTGACATTTCTAAAATCTTTCTGATTCTGCACAGATGTATTAGTTTTCAAGGGCTGCCATAACAAATTACCACTGGGTGGCTCAAAACAACAGAAAAGTATTCCCTCACAGTTCTGGAGCCCAGAAGTCTGAAATCAAGGTGTCGGCAGAGCCGTGTTCCCTTTGAAGGATCTAGAGAAGAACACCTCCATACCACAGCAGCTTCTGGCGGCTCCTGGCTTTCCTTGGCTTCTGACAGCATAACACCAATCTCTGCCTCCATCTTTACACAGTGTTCTCCCCCTGGGTGCCTCACTGTGTGTCATGTCCTCTTTTTATAAGAACACTGGTTATGGGATTTAGGGCCTAGCCAAATCTAGTATGACCTTACCGTAATTACATCTGCAAAACACCTATTTCCAAATAAGGTGACATTCTGGATGGACATGAATTTGGGGGCGCACTAGTCAACTTACTACAGCAGGCATAGCTTTCTTAAGACAGGCACCTGCACTTGTGCAAATACACGAGTTGGTAAATTGGACTCTGCTGAGTCACAAACACTTCTTTTTGAAAGCATAGTTAAGAAAACGAAAAGGCAGGCTACAAACCGGGAGAATGCATTCACAATAAATATCTAATCAATGACTTGGATCCAGAATACAAAAGGACTCTTACAACTCAGTAAGATAATTAGCCCCTTAGAAAATGGGCAAAAGATGTGAACAGACACTCTGGAGAAATGCAAATGAAAGCCACAATGAGATACTGCTGCAAACCCATAAGAATAGCCAACATTTAAAAGACAATACATGCGTAGACAAAGAAACAGA